ATTTATAAATATTTTTTAAATTGAGAAATATATAAAAATATATATATATAAAAATTTTAAATCAACACAGTGATGATTGTGTAGTCTAAAGAAATCCAAAGAATATAAAGAAAATTAGAACGTGGTTAAACATCTAAATGAAAACAATTTCATAGTAATGAACTAAATCAGTCAAAGACAAAGTCTTGGTAGCAAGAAATTTATTGCACTTTGTTTTGGTGGTGTTGTTTTTTGTTTGTTTTACTTTATTTGCTTGTAGTAGAGAGAAGAGAGATTGAGATCATTTAAGGATATTACTTGGTGTGATCAGATACCTAGGTCATGGAAGTACATCCTGGAGCCAGGATTTTCATTAGCTGCTGGTAAATGATCAAATATAAAATTGATTAAGAGATGTCATAAGTGAATTTGTTTTATAATTTATTGTAAGTCATTCTTCCTGACTCTGCTTAATCACAGTGTTCAAAGAATATCAGAGGTTGGTTAGCTTATAATGTTCAGAATGATGTTGCTGAAAGTAAAATACCAGATACTGACTTTCAGGAACTTTTACTATAGAAGATAATCTAAGCATTTTCAAAATTAAAACACTTTCAATAATGGATAAGTTTGCATAGTATAAATACATGGTCTTGTCATGCATTCTTATTCAGTCAAAATTGGAAGTAAGTGTCTGAAATTGTGGTATTTGGCCCATTAATTAGTTATTAAGAACATTCAACATTAATCCACATATGATTTGAAAAAGTTACTGATTTCTTTTCTTTAGGTATCTGTTGTCCAAAGCAGCTGGAGATCACCAACTCCCTCTCTGTGTGACATCACTAGAAAACGCTAGACTGGTGATGTCACACATACCACAGAACCCTGCAGCAGAATGGAGCAGGCATATTAAGGGTAAGTTTTCTCCCTCCACCACCACCCCTTTTCAACAATATTGCATGGTTTTATAAGATTACTAATTTTCTTTACTTTATATTCTTGGGATATGAAGTAAAGATTACAGACAATCTTATAAAACTGCATAATATTGTGGTGTTGTGTGTGTGTGTTTATTTAAAAGCAAAACAAAAACTCCTATAAAAAGTTCAGTCCTTACCCCATGTATCAATATCCTGGCTCCAGTCTGCTTTGGGGTTCCATGATAAGTATGCCAGAATAGTGTATGTTGGACCATCAATCACAGAGAGTGGAGTCAGCATTTCCTGGCTGCTCTGGATGTCAGAAACCTTGTTTTAAAAGGTAAGTTTTCAGTTGAATATGTTGAATGTCTCTCTGCATTTATATGGAAACATTCAGCCCATTTCTAAAATGTATTTTTATTGTGCATGCATTTTTAAAATTTACTTGTAACTTAACATAGCTCAAAGTCACATTTTATACTTCTCTGTCTAGTTTTCCTCTGTTATTTTCCTGTGTTAATACTTTATATTGTGTTTCCAGAAAAAAAATAGTGTCTTGTTTGTCACTACTTAGAGCAAGATGGTAACTAAATTCTGTTTAATATCATTCTCAGTGATCTGGACAAGGCGATCAAGAACAACCTCAGTCAGTTCACAAACAGCACCAAGCTGTGTGGGAGTGTTGATCTGCTGGAGGGCAGGCAGGCTCTGCAGAGGGATCTGGACAGGCTGGATCATGGGCCAAGGCCGTGCTGTGAGGTTCAACAAGGCCCAGAGCTGGGTCCTGCCCTCGGGTCACAACAGCCCCAGGCAGTGCCACAGGCTGGGGCAGAGTGGCTGGAAAGCTGCCCAGAGGAAAAGGCCCTGGGGGTGCTGGTGACAGCAGCTGAACAGGAGCCAGCAGTGCCCAGGTGGCCAAGGAGGCCAATGGCACACCTAAAATCCTATGTTCAGTTCTGGGCCCCCCACTGCAAGAGGGACATTTTGGTGCTGAATTGAGACCAGAGAAGGGCAATGGAGCTAGTGAAGTGTGTGAAACAAATCTTGTTAGAAGCAGCTGAGGGAGCTGGGGGTGTTCAGCCTGAAGGAGGTTCAAGGGAGACCACAGCTGCCTGAAAGGAGTGTGTAGCCAGGTGGTCTTCTTTTCCCAGGGAACAAGTGCTGTATGTTTCTCATTAACATATACCTTTGAAGGTCCAGCCTAAACCTCCTAAGCTTCAGTTGAGTTTGTAGCTGGTCTCTTGGATTATCATTTGGTATTACTGAGAATTTACAACACAGGCATGTGTGAAAACAAGTTTATTATTGGTAGAAATTTGTAGGCAGCTATGTAATAGGGAGTTAAGTCATAATTTTATTAGTTATTGATTTGCCTTCCCCCACCCCCCCTTCCCCCAATAAAAGACAAACACTAGACTGTGTTAGAGAATCAAATTGCATATGAAAAGAAATGCTAAATTTTGTAGTGATAGGTCTTAAGATTATATATAAAATTTTTAATGTCTTTTTTAGTGTTTCATATTAAAGGTATAATAAGATCTAGTATTTATGTGGTTGCACAGAAAACCAACTGAACCACAATTATTTAAAAGATCTGGATTTTTTTATTTTCCCAGTCTTTTTTGGCCTATGCTTGTTCTGTCCTGACTACTTCTGAGGAAAAAAGATTATTCTCATGGCTAAAATTTGTTCATGCTTCCATTAACAGGTTTATTGTCAATTCCAAAACCCCACTAAGAAAAGTAATTGGGATAAAGGGAAATAATTAATCTATGTTTTTAAAAATTATGTTGCTATAAAATTTTCATTAAAATTACTTGGAAGTCTGGTTCCTCTTCACCTGTTTCTCCACTCTTTTGAGGTCATTCTGAAGGGTTGCACAGTTCTCTGGGGTATTTGCCACACTTTGCAGCTTGGAGCTTACTGAGGAGACATCTGCCCCTTAATCCAAGTCACTGATGAACAAGTTAAACAATACTGGAGCAGCAGTGAACCCTTGGGGACACCACTGGAGACAGACCTCCAGCTAGAGCTAGCTGTAGAATTAGGGGCCAGGAATCTTTTTATGTGTGCTTTTGTAAGCAGAGAGAAAAAAAAATTGTTTTTCTGTGAAGTAGTAATGAGGTCAGTAAAGTCTTGAAGTCTGTTCTTGACTAAACATTGTACATGTGCTGGCTGCCTAACGGTTGCTGCTTCTAATTTATTCAGTGGTCAGCTGATAATTATCTTTCTCATAAATACTCTTCTCTTTCTACTTAAGTCAAAATCTTAGCCTTATTTAAAGATGAATTAGGCTCAGAAATTAATAATTTCTTGGGGTTTTTACTTTGTAGTGATTTTTCATATTTTTTAATATTACATTTTCATACATTTTCTTTGCTAGAACAACTGCATGTATAGCATTTCTATTTCACAGTAGTAGTAGCATTGTTTATTTTTGCTAATTGATTTTTGTTTTCAGACAATGCACTAATGCTCTGTAGCATATAAATACACTATTTTAAAACAGCCTGCAACATGTTTTATCTTACAAGAAAAATAAATCTGTGCATGTAATATTCTTTTGTATGTTAACAATTCTGTTGATTGCTGATATTGAGATAATACCAAGTGCCTTGGTGGACTATGGTATACACAAGGTCTGTTTTTATTGTAATGATTAGTGACAGGTTTTATGCATGTGACTGTCCACAAGTGAAGGAAAGTATAATACAGTTTACTGGCTGGTCTGTATGTTTGACACTGATCGTTATGTTGTAATGTGGCATAATGATCCTACTTAAAATCTTTGCTTTTGTAATTTTAATTGAAGAATGAAGATAACTATTTGTTTTGTTATATAACATGTAAATGATTGTCCATAAAAAAATAGATCCCCAGTCTTCAAACAATCAACTTGAGTGATCTTGCTGTACATTAGAGAGATCTGCTGAAATGTGTAGAGTGAAATCGTCCAAACTCCTTAGGAAGATCATTCTTGTAGACTGAAAGGCAGCCGTGACAAGCTTTATCCAGATTTTCCTGCCTTATGTTTTTTGGTGTGCCAGACCACAGGAAGCTGTGAAGGATATGTGCACTATCAAAAGCTAAATATGTATATGAAATAAGTAAGTTCCCAAGTCTTACTTCTTTTTCTGGCAGAACCATAATCTCTTTACATCTTCTCTGAACTAGTCAAGAGCTAAAATCTTCATTGACATAAAATGCACAGAGTTAGTAGAGTGGCAGAAGTACTATTCCACATCCTTTTTATAAGTTACATATGTATGCATTGTACAGTCTTTTATGCAGTGAACTGCAGAATGAAGTTTTGGGAATAAATATATACAAGGGCTATCTGTGATTGTTAAGGGGTGTGTTCTGCAGCACCATGGCCACCATATTTGTCATTTCCCAATGTTTTCTCTCCTTATTAATACTTTCTAGATATATGAAAACATGAATATAAGATTACATATATCAGTTTTGAAAATAAAACTTTTTAATTACGTTTGAATTAAAAACTTAAAGGATTTTATGTTGGAAAATCGGTCTTTGCTGCATAGTCTATTGCTTCATAAATGATGGATTTGCTAAACTTCGTTGTAAAAGAACTTTTTTCTATAACTTTAAATAAAATGTAATGAAAAATTTTTATCCTTGAAAATTGTAGTAAAGTTTCTTTTGCAAATAATAATGTTATAATTGATACCAATTCTCTTAAATGAGATTAGGGTGATATTTTCTTTAAAAATTTTAACTCAGAAAAGTGTACATACATGGTTGATTTCCCTGACCTGAGTGGATTGTTAGTTACTCATTTAATTTTAAACACCTGGTGTATTTGTAGAATCCTGTTTCAGTTTTAATTTTCACCTGTAAGAAGTGTCTTTGCAGTATTACTTTTCCAACTAGGACATCATCTCTCTGTAGTATTAAAATTAAAGTAATAATGTCCTACATAGGTTAAGGGTAGATGTAACTCTGAAAGTTTCTAATCATCTATTCTGGTTGTTTTCCTCATGTTATATCAGTGTTCCATGATTATTGTAGTACTAATACAGTTTAACAAGATTTAGGTCTAATGCTATGATAAATAAATGGAATTTATGTTTTCAGGGAAGATGGTACCACCGGAAGCAAGCAGTAAAGGAATTGCATGGTACGTTGTTACGACTGCTTAATGAACTGTTACCATGGGAACCAAAGCTAATTAAAGCATTTCAAAGAAACAGGTAATTACCTGCTCTTTATTTTTCAACGGTGGTGCATGGGATGAAAAACAGAACAAAATTCACCTTTTAAAAAATGATCAATAAGTTGACTTCCTAAAATAAATAAAATTATAATAGTTTGAGGAGAGGAGTGAGGCACTGGCAGTACTTTAGTTGGAAAAAGTAAATTATATTCCAGAGTTACTGTCTCCAAAAAAAATTGAGCTTAACCCACTGGTGTTTCTTACCTCTAAAACACTCCAGAATCCTCAAGAGTGCTGATCAATAATATATCACAGTACAGCTAGGATTTTTATTGCTGCTTATTTGGTTAAGAAATGCTGAAAACCTTTCTTTAAGAACTATACCAGGGCTTCTTAGAATACTCTGACTACTTACTATATAAAGCCACATATATTAACTATTAATGAATTCACTGCAGAGCAGTTCTTGAAGCATTGTTTTGAGGTCTTTGTAACCTCAACCAGTAAATTAGAAATGTATCTGGAAAGATGTCAGAGGAAGATAAGTGAAGTAGTGACAGGTTTAAATCTAGTAAAGTGCAAGTATGAAGGTGCTACTCTGATTATAAATCATGGAGAGATTAGATACTGTCTTGAACCTTAGTGCCATTCTTACCTCTTAACTCTACATCTGTTGCTATAATTGCACCTTAGTTTTGCCAGGCAGACAATTAAAAAGCAAGGCTTAAACGCTGTTACAAAGGATAGGAAAATAGACTGATTCTTAAATGTTGAGTGTGATAGAAGCAAGTTACACTGTTATGTGGTACAGAGCTAATGCTGGGAAGTGTAAAAGGTGTCATGTTTAAAAAAATACAACAACATAACACCAAAGGCATTAAACTGGTTCCTCAGTACCTCATTTTTTGACTATCATGCATGAATTAAAATTCTTATTTGGAAATTTGGGGTACTGTTGAATATTTTGCTTTAAATAATGGACCCAAGTACAAGTTTTGGGTTTTTTTCTTTTCCTTTACCAAGTCTCATTCCTGATCATTTACCTTAGCTGTTAATTTTTCTTCCTGTCTTTTGCAATTCAGAATCCTTCTGGAAATGTGGCAGATATTATTACTGTCAGGAAGAATTTGTTTTCCTGTATGTGAAGTTTACAATTTTGTCTTTTTTGTAAATTCTGTTGTGGAATGGTTTGCTGCTTAGTAATCATGTCTGTTAAATCACAGAATCATAGATTGGTTTGGATTAGAAGGGACCTTAAAGATCATCCAGTTCCAGTTCTCCTGCTGTGGGCAAGGGCACCTTTTGCAGACCAGATTCCTCAAAACCCCATCCAATCTGGCCATCCAGGAGTAGAGTTTCAACAACTCTGGACAACCTGTTCCAGTGCCTCACCACAGTTGCACTTCAGAATTTTTTCCCAATTTCTAATCTAAACCTACTGTCTTTCATTTGAAGCCACTGCCCCTTGTCCTCTCACTACAAGTTCTTGTACAGGTCTTTCTCCCCCGCTTTTTTGAAGGCTCCCTTGAGGTACTGGAAGGCTGCAGTTAGGTGTCCCTGAAGCTGCCTCCTTTCCAGGCTGACCAATCCTTCTCAGTCTTTCTGCACAGGAGAGGTACTCTATCCCTCTGATCATCTTGGTGACCTCCTCTGGACTCACTCCAACATCTCTGTATCCTTCCTGTGCTGGGACCCCAGAGCTGGATGCAGCAGTGCAGTGGGGTCTCACCAGAGCAGAGCAGAGGGGCAGAAACCCATCCCTGGCCCTGCTGCCCACACTGCTCTGGATGCAGCCCAGCACACGTTTGGCTCTCTGGGGGGCTGGGAGTGCCCATGACTGGGTCATGTCCAGCCTCTCACCCAGCAGCACCCCAAAGCCCTTCTGGGCAGGGCTGCTCTGATCTGTTCACCCCAGCCTGTGCTGAGACTGGGGATTGCCCCAACCCTGGTGCAGCACCTTGCACTTGGCCTTGTTAAAACACGAGGTTTTCCTATGGACCCGCTTTTTAAGCTTGCCCAGATCCCTCTGGATGGCATCCCATGCACTGTCACTGTTGAGAGGGACACAACAGGACACTAGAGGTTCATGCAGCTGTAGCAAACTTTGAGTGCAGCTGCTTTTTACAGGGTTTTCAAAAAACCCACCCTTGGTCCTGATTGGCTGAATTAGGTTACCATCCAGATCACTGGCCAGTAGTTGTCCATGCTGTTTGTGGGTTAGCTGGCATCTGTTGTTTGAATTTGGATCGCCTAGCTTCTCAGTGCCTTCCTTCTAAGGATGTTTACCTCTTTTTGTTAATGGCATAGACTTGTCGAGTTATTATTAGGATTATCTATAACTGTTAGGCCTCTAGGCAGCTGTTAGCCACCACAGTCCTCTAAGGGTGTCAGCTGCACCAGTTCGGTGTCATTTGAAAACTTGATAAGAGTGCCCTCAATCCCTCTGTCTGTATCATTAGTGATGATATTAAATAACTCTTGTCTGAGTATGGACCCTGAGGGACATGACTAGCCCCTAATGTCCATCAGGATTCTGTGCTATTGACCACTGCCCTCTGGATGCCAACATCCAACCTATTTCTTATCCACCGAATGGGTCTGCTTATCAAATCCCAGTCTCTCCAATTTAAGAGACAAGGATGCTGTGGGGAGACCATGTCAAAGGCTGTACAGAAGTCCAGATAAATGACAACTGTAGCCGTTCCCTTGTCCACTGATATACTCAGTCCATCCTAGAGGGCCACTGAATTCATCAGGTAGGACATGCCCTTGGTGTAACTCTGCTGGCTATCTCAAATCACCTCCCTGTGCCTTAGCACGGGTTCTAGGAGGGTCTGTTCTGTGATCTTCCCAGGCACAGAGGTGAGGCTGACAGGTCAGTAGTTCCTAGGGTCCTCCTTTCAACCTTTTTTAAGATTGGTACAATGTTTTGCTTTTTATTGCTATCTGGGACTTCACCTAACTTCCAGGGGTTGTTTTTTTTTCCAAATGTCATGGAAAGTCCTTGGTAAATACATCAGCCAATTCCCTCTCTTCTGTACATTCATGTTCTTCAGGTGATCATGAACCTGATCTTTACTTAGAGTGGGAGGGACATTATTCTCCCAGTTCCCATTCTGCTTTCCATCCAGTCAGAAGGTTTGTGAAGAAATACTGCCCTTGAAGACTGAGGCAAAAAGCCTTTGAGTACCTCAGCCTTCTCCTTATTCATTGTTACCAGTTTTCCACTCTTACTTATCAGACGGGGTCACCTTCTTTGGCCTTCCTTTTGTGGTTAACGTGCCTGTAGAAACCCTTCCCGTTATTCTTTGTGTCCTTGGCCAAGTTCAATTCCAGTTTTGCCTTGGACTTCCTCACCCTGACCCTGCACAACCAAACTCGATCTCTTCAAGCTCTCTTCAAGCTCTTCTGGTTTCAGCTGCCTGTGCATTTGCTTCTTTCCCTTCAGTCTGACCAGCAGTTCCCTACTCAGCCCTGCTGTTCCTTTGCCTTCCTTCCTCAGTTTCTTGCTCCTGGGGATTGCCAGCTCTTGCACTCTGTGGAAGACTTCCTTGAAGATCTGCCATCTCTGTTCCACTCCCTTGTCCCTGAGGGAAGTTTCCCAGTGGATCCCACTGGCTATCTCCTTGAAGAGTTGGGAGTCTGCTTTCCTAAAGTTCAGGGCCTAACTTTGTTCCTCGCCCGGCCCATATTGCAGGACTGCAAACCCCACCAATGCATGATCACTGCAGCCCAGACTCCCTCCAGTCTTGACGTTCAAGGTCAGCTCACTCACACTGGTGCCCATCAGATCCAGAATTGCTTGTCCTCTGGTAGGGCTGCTGTGTATTCCTTGGCTCAAGAAGGTATCCCTCATGCTTTCCAAGAGTCTCCTGGCTTGCCTGCAGCCCGCTATGCTGCTTTCCCAGCAGATTTTGGGGTGGTTAAAGTGCCCCAGCAGGACAAGAGCCTGTGATCATGGTGCTGCCTGTAGCTGGAGCAAGAGGGCTTCATCAGTAGGGTCCCTTTGATCAGGGGTCTGTACTTAAAACCACCCACAAGGTTCCCTTTCTTGCCTTGGTCCCTAATTCTTACCCATGGGCTTTTGACCTGCTTGTGGTTGTTTTTCAGAGACAGATGATGTCTCTACTTCCTGATGTAGAGGGCAACTCCTCTGTCTCTCTCTTTCCTCACCTGTCTCTTCTGGAGAGCCTGTAGCCATTGATAGTCACACTCCTGTCACATCCCACAAGTTTCAGTATTGGCAAGAAAGTGACAACTTTCTAGCAGCACAGTGGCTTCCAGTGTCTGTTTGTTGTCAGTGCTGCATCAATGTTGTTATGGAACACAGAACTGTGGTGCAAAGTGAACACACTTATGCTATATATGAGCTGTGACTAATAGGAGTAAATTTTTGTCTGGAACAGGGTAGTTGAGATCTTATGTATGTGTGTGCTGGTAGCAAAAGAAGCATGCACTTGGAGTGCATAACTTCTGAAATTAACTGAATTCAACTCATGTTTTAGTATTTATGTTTTAGGCTGCAACCCTAGTTTAACTGTTTGGACTTAAACATAGCATACCACGGACCAGGTCCACCTGAAGAACGATGTTTACAAATCATGGGGAAGAGAGAAAGATAAATGGAGGATTCTAGGTCACTGTCTTGGTCTGATTCATTATGCAGCTGCTAGGCAGTTGTGTAGCACCAGTGACAGTGGTAAAGAAGGATGTGGACGGCAAAAAGCAATTGAGGAAAATTTACTCACAGTAGTGTAAACATAAATTCCCCCATAAGGGAATTTATTTTTACATAAATGTTTTACATCTCACTGTGGATGCTCCATCCATAGGGTGTCTCAGTGAGATACTAACATCTACTAATTGAATAACAGTGTTAAACTTCTAAGGTGAGAAGAGCCTGGCAGCACTTCTTCTTCCAGATGCCACAGTATGGAATATGAGTCTGGAGTTTTGCATCCTTCCTTAGTTATTTTCTTTAACTAGTGGGAACACACTCTATGATCAAAATCCTTTTATTCCCCTTCTGAGAGATCCTCTGGCTTTTTCAAGATTATGACAGAGTATAATGTTGCATTGTATTTGAATAGCAGCAAGGTTTAAAAGAGAAAGTTATTTATGCCCACTGATTACAGTTGTTCACTGGCCTCACAGCAGAAGTTCCTGAAAAGAAAAAAGGAAATTACATCCAGAAGTAGTAGTAGTAGTACATCCATTAGTAGTTCCCTGATGTGCTCCTATAGTTCTTCCACACCTAGACTTCAGTCAAAATCCTGATGACAGATTTGAAGAATTGTCCACACTACATCTTCATACAGGCTTCAACGTCTGTTCTCAATGAGAATGTCAAAGCTGGGAGTAAACAATTAGATCTCACTGACCCTTATCAGCCCCACCTGGCTGTCCATCTATGCCACCTATCATGGGCCTAGGTTCCCCATTTCAGGTCGTTCTGCAGCCTTCAATCTCTGCTGCAGGTGTGCCACTTTCCAGCTCAACTACAGCAGTTACTGTGTCTGCCCATGGATCCCCTACAGATCTGGAATGACTCTCAGACTGACCTTCTACCTGCATCATCACTACGGAGCTGCCAAGAAATCACTCAACTGGGTCCTGACTCTGGTAGCCATGACTGCTGATGGCAGTGATCTTAAACTTTTGAATTGATTTCCCAGTTTGATCTCAGAATGCCTCAGCACCAGGAACTTGCTTGTTGATCTGGGCTCTTGGTTGAAGCTGGTTACCGTCCCTAGGCCTGCCCTGCTGCCTCCTTCAGGGGGAGTGGAATAGCTTTTACTGACTGGTGAGGCTCATGCCCTACCAGATGTGACATTATTCTTGGCTACTCCCTCTCCATCTCATAGAGAGCAGCTGGCCATTGCGGTATTCAATGCAAACAACTGTTAGACTAATGCAGAACAATGAATAAATTTAAGATCTTACTGTTATAGGGTCATAACTATCATAGGGTTTAGTCTAGATTCTATCCCACGCAAGGTGTTAATTGCTATAATCTATTTGCTAAATAATCTTTCTGGGCATTGTGTTGGTTACTGCCAGCAGAATCCTGAAGTTAAATGTATTTGTACACAAAAATAGCTACTACAACCCATCTAAACAGGGGTTTATAAGAGGGGACAATTAAAAATATGTAGAGGTTAGCAGTATCAAGGTAAGTGGATGTGTTTCTGAATGGTGTTGAAGTGAGCGAAGTACCCATGTATTTCTGTTATATGCACATTCTTTAGTGGAATGTGAACCTATGGAAATGGTAACAGCAGCTGTTCCAATGGGCCGGAGATAAGGAAGTGTTCTTAAGGAGAAAGTTACGGTAGTCTCATAGCTGAGCCAAAGGTATGATGTGTTTAAGAAAAACAAGATTTATTTGATTCTCTTAGTGCAGTTGCCTTAAAAATAAAGAGTAGACTTTTTACAGTTAATACTTAAGTCCATACAAGTATATTTGTCATTTGAAAGATGAAGGAGGAAAAGGAATATGGATGCATTAAAAAGGTGATGGTCATTTGACTCAGTCTTTTTCCTATTGTTAGAGGACATAATGAAATAGAATTAAGTTTGGGTAAAGTAAGGCACATTGTTGTCATTTCACATTTTCTGTATTTTAGAGATTTGCAAAAAGAGCTACACTTTAATTATTTGAAGGGCACAGGAAATTAAATCTACACCAACTTTTAGTTTGGCAGCAAATACAAATAAAATTAATGTTTAAAACAGTGTGGTTTTTTAGTAAAGTTAGTTTTGTTATTTTTAAGGTCTAGATTGAAGAAGAACTATGATGACTTTAAAAGACATCCAGACCATGATAAATTTACCAGAGAATTGTGGAGTAATGATGAAAGTGAAGCTGATTCTGGCAAAGAATCTTTTGCAGTAGTATGCGGTAAATCATCAGAGTCTGCAGAACATATAGAAGTTCCCCAAAAAGATCACTCAGACAATGGTAAGCATTTACTGGAATTCAGTAGCTTGAACTTGATTCAGGAGCTGAATTGAGTTGATTTGGGAACCTAAGTTCTCCATGTGAGCTTGTGTCCTACTTTTTAGCTTAACTCTACCAATGTGAAAATAACTTGTGGTGCATATCTGTCAGATGTAGACTTGAAGAGGGCAGACATGACCAAGATGAAAATTCTGCTGTATTGAAGTGTTGGCCATTTTTTGTGCTTAACTATTTCTGTGATAAAATAGTAGATCTGTGTGGAACTTACTTCTTTGGTGGTTGACCTTGAATGGCTGCCAGATGCCTATGCAACTGCTGTCACCCCCCGCTTCCTTAAGAAGGGAGGCTAGGGAAAGAAAACAATATGGAAAACCTTAATGGTCAAGATATAGACAAGAGAGATCACTCATCAGTTACTGTCACAGTCAAAACAGACTCGAGGAGAATTAATCTGTTGTCAATTAAAAATAGAGTTGAATGGTGAGAAACAAATACAAAACCTAAACTCCCCCCCTTTCACATATCCACCTCCTTCCAAGGCTCATTTTCATTCCCAATTCTTCCATCTCCTTCCTTGTGAAATGGCACAGCAAGGATTAAATCTGGTGACTGAGGTCAGTTTGTAACAGTCCCTTCTGCTCCTTCCTCATCCCTGCTCCAGTGTGGAGTCCCCGCTATGGAATACAGTACTTCACAAATTGCACCGTTGTGGGTCCTCTCCATAGGCAAGAGTTTTTCAGCATAAGACTGTACTAGTGTGGATCTCCCATATGCCATAGTTCCTGTCAGGAACCTGCCCCAGGGGTGGGTTCTTTATGGGCTGCAACTTCCTTCAGGGCATTCTACTCACCTGCTGTAGAATGGGGTTCTTAAGCATCTGCAATACACATACCTATTCCAGCATGGTCCTCCATGAGAGCAGGTAAACCTGCTTGATTGGGAGTCTTACAGGGTTGCAGAGGAATCCATTCCAGTGCCTGGAGCACCTCTTACTCCTCCTTCTTTGCTGACCTTGATGTCTACAGGATTGTGTCTCTACATTTTTTCCTCAGTCCACTCTGTCACATGCTTTTGCAAAGCGTTATCCGTGAGACATCACCAGCTTGGCTGACAGGCTCAGCCATGTCCTGCAGTGGATTTGTTTTGGAACCAGCTGTGTCTGGCACAAGGCAGTTTCTGGCCTTTCTCCTCAGAGAGGACCCCCTGCAGTCCCATTCAACAAGAACCTCAATGCATGGCCCTTCTGTCCACCTGGCCCTCCTGAATGCATTCTAAGCCCTCTTACCACTTCATGCATCCCCTGCTCACTGGCTAGTCTAGCTTGATGCAGTATGAAACATGGTGTTTACATCTTTGTCACACAGGCATCCCCCACACACCTGTTAGGCCAACCCAGACCCCTAGGCCCTCCTGCTCACCAGCTAGTCTGCCTTGAAGTTTACCACAACTTCAACACACACTCACTGGATTTGGGGAGGATACAGACACTCACCGTCCAGCAGCTGGCACTAGGCCCACAGCTGTAACCTCTTGCAGCTGTCATTGCAGCTCCCCTTACCTCTACACACTGCTTCATGGGTTTGTATAGCTGTACCAATTTCCTTATCCCCCCTGGCTCCATCTCCAGGATCTCCCCTGGTTTATTATTATAAACCATTATTATTATAAACCAATGGTATTAGGTTCAAAAAGTTGATCTTCCTGCAAGAGACCTCTGCAGTTTCCTGAGAGCCCATCAACTAATGTGATTGGTGAAGTTGTTTCTTGACATTGTCTCCATTTTTGTTTGGTTAGATCTGTGTCTCTGTATATTTTTTTCCCTGGCTTTTCCCTTTTCCCCTCAAGATAACCTTGCTCAAATATACATTTTCATGCTCTCATATACTGTCATATACTCTCGTATACTGTTATCTGTTAATCTGATTGACCGGGTTTGGTTTTCCTCACTGTCTCCCATTGCTGGTCAGGTTTCAGTCCCTATGTTCTTGTTTATTACTTCCTCCTTTCTTTATTACCGCCTTTTTGTATTGCAGAAGTCCTTGACCAGATACTCTTTAAAAATTAGATATTTCCTTCCACATACTTTATCTCTCGCAAACTAGTGTATTGCCTTTAGCGAGACACTGTAAAACTGTTTTATAGGGGTATCAGTTGCAAACATGTAAAACACAGTTTCTGTTTTAATATCCTTGCAGATGAAATGAAACTATTAGAGATGAATTTACCTGCAGGAAAAAACAGAATTCTGAAAAAAGAATCAGCTTCTAAAGAGATACAGAAGACACTGCCCAAATGCATTAAACGACAATTCAAGCAAAATAGTTGTCTGGATCAAGGCACTAATGAGCTTTCACCAAGGAAGAAAGCTAAACTGAGCACTAACGAGGTTGTGGTCCACAGTTCTGATAGTAGCCTGCAGTCAGATAGTTGCTCGACCGAGCTGAAACAATTTGAAGGGTCAACTCAAAAGTTACTTTCCTTGACAGATCCTGCAACATCAGTATCAAACTTTCTGAAAGGGACCAAACCCATCCAGGCCTTGCTTGCCAAGAATACTGGGAACAAAGTGACCTTAACAAATCAACTGTTGCCTCCTGCAGGCATGAACATACCTACTCCTGAAAAGTCAGTTTTACCAGCTTTGGAATCATCACTGATCAAACCAGCATTGACCTGCCAGGCCAGTTCAAAGACTCCTTTACAAATGGTATACAAAATGCCAAATGGCCACTGTGTACCAATAGACGTTCCCAACAGCTCAGTGAAAATTCAAATGCAAGCTATGATTGACCCTAAAAATGGAGAAAAAGTCATGCAGCAAGTTCTTATTTTACCTAAGAATTTTCTTCTTCAGCAGAGGGAAGAAAAAATTGTGTCCAAGGATATTCAGTCACAACAACAAAAATCATTTGAGATGCACTGTACATCTTTACCAAAAATGTCAAACATCAATGTTTCTTTAACACCTACTCTGGTAACAGGCCCTGCAAATGCCACTCAGTCACCCACTACAGTTTTTTCCAAGAATACTACCCACTCATCACAAGTGACTAGTCCAATGAACACTACACAACCATTGCCGAATGTAACTTCAGCAGATAACTTATCAATAATTAAGGTAAGCCAAAGTGAAAATGACAAAATCAAGACTACAGTTTCGACTGCTACATTGCCTGTGTCTTTGGCTTCACCTACTCTTTCCACAGCTAGCCAATCCTTGACACCAGCAACAGCATTAAGTGCATCTACAAACGCTGATTCTGCCTCTAATCGTCTTGCATCACAGCAGCAAACCAACTCCCCTGAAACAAAGCAAGAGCTAAAGACAGTGTGTGTAAGAGAATCACAATCTATTCTGGTCACAACACGAGGTGGAAACACTGGAATTGTTAAAGTGCAAACAAACCGAGACCAGATTTCACCCAGTAGTTTATGTCCTACTTCAGTTTTCACATATGCATCTCAACTTCAGGCCTTCCTTGTGCCAAAAACCACAGCAGTATCATGCTCTAGTCTTGCATCTGTAGCAACAGCCACATCTGGTCTCCCACATGTTGGACAATTATCTCCTTCTGGATTTGTCCCCTCAACAGCTTCTCTTAATGCTCCAGCTTTCCCTGCTGATTTTACCCAGACAATAGAGAAAAATACTAAATTCACACTACGGCAGCCAGCTGTTCGGGATTCTTCATGTCAAGTAAGAGAGAAGTCCTGCCATGTGTCTTCTTCTTTATCATCCTTTCCATTAGCTACCAATTTGGTGTCTCCAACTCCAAACAGCCCTGTTAGTGTGACTAGCATTGGACAAAGTAATGTCAAAACTCCAGATTCTTCTGTGCACCATCAAGGGGACACCAAAGTGAAAACAAAATCTGTTACACAATCTGAATCAAATTCTGCAACAAATGGAGAGTTAATCAGTGGTGCTCCAGTCCAGAAATTTACATTATTCACAAATCCACCCATTTTATCTCCCTCTGGGGCATCAGGGGTCAGTATTATACCCTGTCCAGGATCCACTGCTGTTAATGCCCAGAAGCTGCTTTTCATTAACACACAAATTGCCAATGGCCCATCAACCACCAATCTAGTTGCAGAGTCATTGAAACAGAACCTTCCTTCTTCCCTAACCAAAACCTTTGTTAATGCCACAGAGCAACCACAGTTGGTTTTGATCCCATCTACAGTAGGAGCACCAATAAGAATAAACTCATCACCAACTATTGCTCAAGTAAAAGATGTGAAAATTGGACTAAATATAGGTCAGACCATTGTAAATACTAAAGGCAGTGCACAGGAGGCCCTACCAGTTAATATATTGCATGCTGGCATTTCTAAAGGAGAAGACAAAAAGAGGACAGCCTTAGCCCCATCCTTGACAAGTAGTACTGTGGTTCCTGTTCCAAGTTTTGCTGTGTCAGCTAATGAATCTGTATGTGCTGCAACAGAAGCTGAAAACGTCTTTACAATAACAACAGCAAATGCACGAATAGAATCTGTTTCAGTAACATCAAGTGGAACTTCTTCTGGGACCCAGTCTACTGTCTTGACTGGTGGCAATGATCCCTCAAGAATAAGGCCGGTTCTGTGTAATCAAATTTGCATATCAAATATTGGAAATACTGTGGGTATGTCAACTGTGAAAACAGGACATCTTGCTTCATCTGTGCTGATTTCAACACAGCCAACAGTATCTCCGCAAGACTTAGGATCTGCTCTGCAATTTCCAGTTACTAGTTTGCCTGGACCTGCAGCCACCCCCCAAAAGGTGTTACATACAGTTCCTCAGTTGGCAGCAGTTCCAGCTCCTTTTCCAGTACCAAAAAGACAGTTGCCCACACTGGTTCAGTTTCAGTCATCAGGAATGTCAGCTGCTGTGTCAAGTCATGCAAGTATTCACAAACCTCAGAGTGTGTTGCCCCCACCATCACCAAATACAGGTGAAGTAATTAGTTTTCCCAATCTTTCTGCCCTACAATGTCAGCAGGTGCCTCCCAGTACAGAGAAAGAAAGTCATGATTACACTTGTGCTTCTACTGTTCAGATGTCTGAGGCTTCACCTCCTGTAACAAGCAAAACAGGAGGAGTTCCATTGAATGAACCTTCCACTCAACAGAAAATAGTCATTAATACTTGTATGCCTTTGGCACCTGGAACTCAGATAATGATTAATGGTACTCGTTTTGTTGTTCCACTACAAGGCCTAGGAGCTGGCAGCCATGTTCTTCTTCTCTCCTGTAATACAAAACAGACTCCTTTAACAATTAACCATGGTCAAGAACCTCAAGGTGTACCAACTGTTAATCCAATAACCTCAAAAATCATCCTAGCACCAAGTCATTCATTAAGTTGGCAAATACCAAAACATCCTTTGAGAAGTTCTACAAAAATTGTGAACTCTTTTGGAGCTGCAGATGCTTTACCCATTGTACATGCAACACCGCAGATATTTAGTACTCCAGCTAGCTCATGTACTCCACTGTCTGCAGTAACTCTGTCTGTGTCTTCAGCGACAAAGTCTCCCATTAATGTAGCTACATCTTCTGTTTCTGCTGTTCATCCTCCAAATTCTCATTTACCAAGCAACACGTCAGTGTTTCAGCTAGACAGTTCTATCAAAAAACTGTTGGTCAGTCCAGAGGGAGCTATACTGAATGCTCTAAATACTTCAGCACCAAAAGTTCTTCCCCTGTCTTCATCACTGCTTCCTGTTGTTTCCACAAGCAGAAATCCTACCGCGGTCTTCCCTGCATCTCAGTCATCTTGCCTTGATAAACCTGACAAAGCTGCATCTTGAATTTACTGCGAATGAGCCACTTTGAAATTCTGGGGCATTCTTCGAACTTTGGAAGTTGTAACTATTGAATAATTTCTTACAACGTTTTAAACAGTTGATTTACTCAATATTAACAAGGTTACAGTTCTTACCTGTTTACCTGTGGGGATTTGGAGAAAGAAAAATTTTAGTTTGTCAGAAGTTTTCAGAGAGTTCTCTAGTAAAAGGCTCAGAAATGACCAATGAATGCATTAAACAGTTTGGAGAAATCTTGCCTTTTGCACATGTTCCATCTTACTCTATGGACTGTTTGCCAGTGTGGTTATGACAGTATAGATGTCCTTTTTATTTGTCAAATTTATTTTTGACTTGTTTCTTTAAAAAAAATTATGCATTGTAAAAATGCAGTCTATAGTATAGAATTGTACATATTCCCGAACTCCTAAAAACCTGAACTAAACAATATGTACAAAGAACTATGCTGTCTTATTTATGTTTTGTTTACATAATGTATAGTTTTTTAAGTATTTTAGTAACTTTGGACCAGTGTACTGTTTAGCAGCAATGCAGAAGAATCTGCATGTAATAAATCAAGTTGCTGTACTGCTTTGTGTTGGCAGTAGTTAAAAATATGTGTATCTGTTACACCATGGGAGAATACATACACACATACATACATACATACATACATACATACATATATACGTGTGTGTGTTTGTGTGTGTGTATATATATGTATCTACATATATATGTGTGTGTATATATATGTATATATATATATATATATGTATCTCTTTCTTTTGGTGTGTGGTAGAATGAAATTATTTAATTCCTTCTGTTCTTCTCTGATTTTACATTTCATGTGATTAGACAGGATTTGGAAGGAAGGCCTCCTTGTTCCTCATGATATAGGGCAGTATAACCCATACTTCATCCATTCTTAATGGTTTGGTTTGCCTAAATAACTCCAGTGAAATGGTAAGACTACAAATGGCTTCCTAGACACCAGTCTAAGTCACACTGATTGCTGTTAAGGACTGCCATGCTTTGTCTTAAATCTTAAAGATCTGTTGAACAATTCATTGTTCTCTGTTTTACAGCCTTGTATGTATTTCCACATATCTGGTAACTGTAACATGGTCACTCACTAATCTGCTGTCCAGCCATAACAACTACCGATTTTTTTTTGCTGGACATGATTCTAGGTCTGTATTTTTTCTTTAGCTTATAAGTGGTTTGTCTGGAAGGAGAGTGTTAAAACATCATATGTGATTAAAATAAGCTTTATTAGTACTTTGAATGGGGATAATTCACATATTGCATAAACCTTCCCTTTTTATACAGAGTGTTTAGTATTTATTAGCTTAGTTTCAGCATTTGATCTGATAAAACCTTTGGGTTATTTTCTTCAGATCAGCACTGTTGCAGTGCTCATGGAGATAAGTCTTTGATATCTTTTGTGATTCTGCATATAGAAGAAGAGTACCCATCTTATCTTATGGAAGGTGATGATTTTAGAATTGTCTTCATATATGTTGAACTTTTTGTGGAGTTTGTTGGTTTGGGTTTTTTTAGACACTAGAAGGGAAGATTTCAGAAGAGCTTATGAATGATAGTTGCCTTTTAAATAGCTATGACTTCAAAGGGGATAAAAGCTTACATATCTGTATTTAGCTGTGTTTGTAAAGTGAGTTTCATAAAAATGAAGCTTCAACCTTTGCTCCTTATCCTGTTGAATTTTCTACTTCCCTTCCCCTTTTGGTGTACACAGTTTTGCAGTTCAGATGTTGAGTTGAAGAAAAGGACCACATCTTACTGCCTCTGTCAGCTGCCCTTTAAATGGTTCTGAAAAGTAACCTGGTATCTACTTAGCTGAAGTTCCAGGAAAGTGGGGGGAAGAAAGGCTTGAGCCTTCCATAGGAACCTTTCCTTTTGCACTGATTAAAAGAACTGCATTGGGAAATTGTATCTTTCTGGATCAGAAATCTCCATCTTAGGGCTGGGAAAGATGGAAGCTGTCAGTTTTGGAATGAAAGAAGATTTGGTTAAATTTAGAAAAAGCTACTTGCTACAATTTTCCTACTTGAAAGGTTATTTTGTAGCTGATTTTGAAGACACCTGGTAGTAAAGGGTGCCTGCTTGCCCTGGCTAAGTCTACAGTACTAAGGATTTTTAAGTCTGACTACATTTTACAGTTGAATGCTGCAGGTGACTTTTCCAACAGAGAGAGACAGCAGAGAATGGCAGTTTCTTCATGGACATTTTACATAGCCAAAACCCATATATACCAGCAACATAATTTATTTCCATTTCACTGGTTGAATCTTGGGACTCACTTATTTTGAATTTTGTCTTTTCTTGCAATGATTGTTTTTTCCTTTTTTCTAATTTATATTTACTGTAGAGTGAGTTGTCTATATTGTTTGGAAAGCTCAAGACTAGGTTCTAGTATTGAAGTTGTTCTTGATGGAGAAAAATTTCTTGCATGGCATTTTTCTGTGTGCTAATGTAATAGAAAGATTTATGCTATAATTGATTCTAATAAAGAGAAAAGTTAGAAAAGCTGAACTTAGGAACTCAGGACTCAAGTAACTTGCTTGAATGATTTCCAACTTTTTTTTAATTAATATGGCAATATTTTATTATTTTCATAAATATTTTATAATTTGGCACATACAAACTTTATAATATGGAAAGTTTGATTCCGTTTGATTACAGTTTTCATGGATTTTTATTCTCAGACATACGTTCACAGTCCAAATCCTTCTGGAGAAAGACTTGAGACTACTATGTAATGGGCTCTCAACATTCATTATGTTAAACCAGCTTTTAGAAATTTTTTCTGAATAAAATTCCTATTCCCAATACTCTTCTCCAATAATACAAATGTCAGTCAGAGATAAGGCTTTTTTTCAAATGAACGTCTATACCCATTGACAATTTGCTATGTACTTTTTGCTCTCCACCAAATATATGGTGCTACCAATAGCACAAAGGGAACCGTAAAAAAGTAGATTATATTCACAGGCACAATGAAAAAGCAGAACTGCCTGCATTTCAACTTGAAGTTAAAAAGATATTTAATGAAACATATAAACACAGATATATAAATCAGCCTTTTAAGAGAACATGTTCAACTTTTCAGAGCTTGTAAAATGCTGTGCTTTTGGATGACTTCTGATACTGTATACAAGTATTCATACACTATATTACATGCAAATTTTTAGTTTTACTAATGACTTTGAATATCCTGAATGACATCCTTTTGTTTACCTGAATGGATATGTTCTGCACAATAGTTTTGCTTTGCTATGAGTAGAAAATGACACTAGTATTGCTTCACTCTTCAAACCCCCATGTGTGTGCTGCCATTTTCTTGTAGGGATTCTGCTACACTAGAAGCAATTAAATTTGACAAGTCTCATGGGCCATAGAAGTACCTATTCAAGTCTTTCTGTCAAGTCATTCAAACATGCTGATTTCACTGTGTGACATAGCAAAGGGTTTAATGTGAAAAGGGAAGCAAAATTTCTCCTGGTGAGTGAACAGAAACTAATTTGTCTATAGGGAATAGGTCAGAAAACTAAAAGTTAGCATTTGTAAGGCATCTACAGCTGCCACAGTGTGTGTGGTTCCTAGTTGATTTTGCTTATACTTTGTGGTAGTGCAGAACTTTAGTAGTCCAAATTAATTTTAAAGTAAATGAATAATTTTTATTGAAGCATGAATATTTGTTATGTTTAAGGACTTTTTTCTTTAAATAGAATGGCCAGAGGTGCTCACAAAAACTTCTTCATGTAGACTGCTCCCTATAAGCTGCACCTCAAATGAGATTAGGGACTCAAAATAATAAGAAAAATAAGATTAATAATGCTGCATTATTTACAGTCCATTTATCCTATTATGATGGCCATCAATCCCAGCATCACCTAGTCTCTTGAAGTACTCAACAGTAGCATTCCAAAAGAGCACAATATCAGGCCTGAATACTCTTTTTAGTATCCACTAATCTGTGAGCCAGTCTTCCTCACACAGCTGTGATTTTTTTTCAATTTAATAGCTTTCAGTATATTTCTCTTGATGAAATACACCAATTCCTTTCAAGAATTCATGGAAGTATGTAAACAGACTATTACCATTCACAGTATTCAGTGGTAAAGAGTTTGTAAATAAATTTCCTTTTTGATTTCCAAACCTGGCACCTGCTAGTTTCATTTGATGCAAATAGTATTTATATTGTAAGATACAATAAACCTTTGTTCTTTGCTATTTTTCCATGTGACCTATGTAGACCTTTGCCATGTTGGTTATCTCTTTTCTAGAATAAAGAGAAATTGTGAATTCAATTATTTCTTTCATGGAAGTATCAGTGGCTGTCATTGCTGTGAATACCTTTTCAATTTTATGATATCCTTGAGGTGTGGTGTCAGAAGAGTGCATGTTCTAAAGGCCCTATGAGCTATTCAGCAGTTTGTTGATGATTTTTCTTTCAGAATAATTATTTCAATGTTTGTGGGTTGGTTTCTGACTATCATTTAGCCTTGTAGTAGCTTTTTAATAGAAATATTAATTGCAACCCAACTTCACATCGGTGACAAGGCAATTCATTCCATAAATCCATACCACTTGCAGAATATTGTAGTTGTAAAGACATGGTCTTTAAACCAGGTTATTGAAACCACTGCAAGTCTGGCAATCTCTGTTCCTTTTTCTGCTTGGTTTATGTCTCTTGAAGATGTCAAATGACACTGCTGTAATGATTTTCAAAATGATGCTTTTTAAATCTCATTGGTTTTGTGTATAGGATACAAGTCTGTATATTGTCATTTTATACAGATTGGCATCCAGATAAAGATTTTTTAGTTGTTGAAGAAGCCACTTTGTGAATGTGACACAGAGCAAAGTTATTTTAAAAATTTTTCCTTGAAACTACAGTGGCATAAAAGCAAACTTTAGAATCTTGAGAAATTTTGGTGAATTTTCTTGTTTTCTCAAAATATGGAATTGTCCAATCAGTGATCACACCTGAATGTCTTGAGTAAACTTGGAAACCAGGGTAGTTCATTGTTTGGTCATGTGACTGGTTCAGAAGTTCTTCAGAAAGGCGGTGTTCTTACTGCGTCTTTTATTACAATCTCAGCTGAACTAAACACATTAAATGAAAATGGTATGTAAAAGTAATGCAAAGAAAATGTAATTAATTGCTTAGAGTATTTCTTGAAATGATGTTTTTACGCAGGTCTATTAAAATGTGCATAAATGTGATTTCCCACCTTTTGCAGATGAAGACAATGAAGTTTGGAGTTCTCATACCAATGTGGAAGAACTGGGAATAGAATTCTTGGTCTCCCGACTCCTTCCAGCATCCCATCTGTAATTAAAGGTTAGACACCTAGATTACTGCTTTATCTTCCCCTATTACCACTTTTTACAATCAAGGAAATATTTGGAAAATGCAATTGTTTTAAAGAATCTGAGCAGCATTGACAAATAGAATTTATAAAAATTAAATAGCAAAGGGGAGCTGTTGTGTTCTGCTTATGGTGAGGGGCACAACAACTCCCCTGGGCCCTGGAGTCTCGGACCCCAGCCAACCACTAATGACCAACAGGAAAGGACGACCACAGAATGGTCTTGGTTTAGCAAAACCCAGGATCTTTTATTAAACCAGGGACCAGACAAGAACAAGGCTAGAGTTACAGGTTTTATCTGCCAGGGTATGGGTAGAGTTTGCGATCAGGGTCCAATAGTGAGAGGAGCAGTAGACTGCAAAGGGCTGGGTCAAGGAGGACAACCAATGGGAAGAACTAAGATGGGGACACTGCAGTAGAATTTAAACCAATGAGGGTACAGGAAACAAAGAACATTCTGGGGCTATTCCTTATCTGCCAAAATGGGGTGGAGTGTCTTTTCCCGGGCTTGCAGGGGCACGCCCCATAGGGTCTATGGGTTGACGGGAATCTTCTTTAAGCCATGCCCCTCACCTGGTGCTGTCTGTCTAGGTAGAATCCCCGCCTCCTAGGGCGGGGGCACTCCACAGCAAGCAAGATGGTAAAGAAACAGCTGTGGTTTGTGTGATTGTCTTCAGGCTTTAGAACTTTGCTTGTCAGTGCCCATGTCATAAAAACAAGACAATAGACTCATTTATTTAGTTGTTCATATTGATTCCATCTCAAGTATAAATACACGAGAATGAATAAACAAGTATAAAGTCAGATTCTTCTGTTGTTGCCATCTGGTACCAGCATATACACTGAGACCTGTCCTTGTAACCTGCTTTTATTTGTAGAATCATTGCTCATTCTTTTTTTATATAACATGCACCAGTGAAATTGAATAACACAGATGAATTAGTGACTGGAATTACTATGTAGCCACAGGGTGTCTTCCCTATTACACAATGGAAGAGTAATATCATGATGGATTCCATTTACACAATATAAAAAGCAGGTATTTTTAGTATCATAATCAATTCTAGATACTAGGAAGGAGGAATTGCTTGTGTCTATTTTTAAAAAACATTGACGATTCATACTAGCAACACACCAATACTAAAATTACAATAATTTGTTTGAGGCTTGTCTGGACAGTATTCTACAGCTCAACTACATGTTATGCTTTCAAAATATTGTTCTTGCCAGTAGTGTGCTTTTTGTAATGTGATCATAGAAGAACAAAAAGTGGGAGAGGCCTGTCTGTAGTATTTGCCTCCTCCAAGGCCTAAGAAATTAATGGAAAACCAATACTTCTTTTAAAAGAGAGCCCATGTCTGAAATTAAATTTCTTACTTACACGAAATGCAAGTGATGTGGCTGGTGCAGCAGTCCTGTCCTTGTATTAGCTGTACCTTGGACTGGACATTTCACTCACTATAGTGGCCAGTAGAGAATGCTTAGTGGAAAGAATTATGAAACAGATCCAGTATGAGTTAATTTTCCCAGTATGTATACACAGCCTACAGTATAACATTAATTCCAGGAGGATTGTATGAACTCAGCCTGAGCTTATCTGTGACATGAAATAGCAGATTTTGCAGCCAAAGAATCAGGTACTGGAAAAACATGAGCAGTAATTCAGTGACACAGAGCAGAAAAACCAGTAATATAAAAGCATAAAACTTCTTCTCCAGTATAAGAAGTGATAGGAGAAGTACATGAATCCTGTTAAACAGCAGAAGGTTTGAATGAGGAGTTGACTGAAATTGTTGCTGGGGAAAAAATCCAGGAAGTAAAGATCATGTGGGCTGCATATCCTTGGAATTATGAATGTAAGAAAGACAAGCTTTTTAAATCTGTGTTGATACCTAAAATGTTCAGGTTGAGTTTCCTGGAGATAGAGAAATAGGAGTAATTTATAGGAAGATAGACATCTGACCCCTTTTAATCCTTGCAAGGATTTCTCTACAGCATATTTATGTCGGAATATTCACACTTGCCATATGATTTTTTTGTTTTAATGCAAATTCTGAAGCAGTTCTAAGGCTTTTCTTTTTTATGGCATCCAGATGACAAAATTCCTCCTGCAAACAACTGCAGATTAAAATCTAGTACTGAACTGTGTCTAAAAAAAGGGCCACTCTTTTGCTCCAGAATGTCAGGAGCAGTGAGGTTTACATGGTGCTGTGGAAAAATAGAAGTAAATTACTTTTGCCAAGGTGAGTGTGAAAGGACAAACTGATAGAACTTGGAAGACAGCATATTTTTCTTAAGAAAATTATTTTCAACAAAAGTAAGTCAGATCTGTCCCCTTATAGCTACAAGATGATAAAAGAACTGTGAACAAGGAAGTCTGCTTTTCTGTGAATGCAGAGAACATTGCAAACATGCAGCAGAGAATTCTGTTTTTCCCATCCAGAGATGGAAGCTAGTGAAGTTGAAAAGACTTTACAGAATTAGTATTGACAGACTGTAGTATGTATATTAGGCCATCACTCTTTGTTTTGTACTGATTTGAACTCATGTGATGTATCTCTCAGTAAAGGAGCAAATAAAGCATGTGGTCCAAACATCTAATTGAGGCTATACTAAAATGGTTTGGAAATGTGAAGGTACATGTGCCAATTAAGCATTGTTCAGATTTTCACCCATAGGAATCTACCAAGAGTGAAATTTGCAGCTATCCCATGTGAAGAGCCTTCTGGGGAAACAAGGCAATAACTGTGACATTTAATGTCAATAGTATTTGTGACATTTAATGTCAATACTGTTTCAACAATAGATTATACATTCTGCCTTTTTTACTCTAATTAAATTTGGGCCAGTAGTCTCTGGTTCTTTTTTTGATGAATGAATGTCATAGAATCACAGAAGCAGAGAATGGGTCAGGTTGGAAGGAACCACAGCCAGGTCACCTGGTCCAATATCCCTGCTCAAGCAGGATCATCCCAGAGCACATACACATTGCTCCAGAATGGTTCTTGACTATTTCCAGTGAGGGAGACTCCACAACCTCTCTGGACAACCTGTTCCAGTGTGAGGGATGTGATTCAGTGGAATTTGAGAGATGGCTCATGGTGGGTGAGGATGAGATGGATGAGCCTTTCTTCTTCATATTGCTGTGAGCACATGGCAGTTAGTAACACCACTACCCCTAAAAATGTAGTCTTTTGTATTGGTACCAGAGTAGAATCTAGAAGAACTACATTTTGGCAGCAAGGGAAGGAATAATTCATTCTTTTCTTTAGAAATCTAAGGCTGCTGCCATTGAGCCAAGGACTTTTTGCTTAAAGGAAGTAAAGTAAAAATTTGAGGTTCTCTAAGGATGCAAAACATAGAGGGTCAATTCCAAAAAGTGCACAAGTGCTGGATTTTAGCTGGCAGCTTATATGGGATGTGTAGATAATACCTGTAGATAGCTTTTTAAACTTTATATTGCTGCTAGTTTACCTTTATTACTGCATTTAAAGTTCAGTGCAGATATGTGACCAAAAGACAACATTGGAAATTTTCAAGCACTTTTCAGCTCTAATGGGCAGTAAAATATGTTTAATTAAATGGCATGAACACACAACAACCTTTCAACCTTGTTGCACAATTTAATATGCAGTCAACAGAAATGTACAAGTGCATAAATGCTACTTCTCCAAAGACAAAGAAGCTCATTAACCTTTTCCTTTACATAAGATGTAAAAAGAAGTTTGCTTTTAAAGGCAGAAAAATGTACTCACATCACGTGAGAGAACACCAACAGAGTAATGGGTATGCTACCAGTATTAGACAAAAACACGAATCAAAGTATTTCATTGAAAAATTACAATCAATATGACTAATACTAATACAGTTGTTAGGGCCAAGATAATATACATACATCCCCAGCTGCAGCAGGAGTTAAGCCAAAGGACATTGCTGAGGTGAGTATCACTGGATTCTCCTAGCAACCAGCTGCAAATGCCAATTATTTACAATAGACTAGTGAGACGCTAAAAAAGCAAGTGCTTCCTATGAAGAGTTTGTGGTACTCTCTTTTATGATGACTGTCTGACATGGGTAGACTATACTCTTTGGCTCTTGGCTCAAGAGACTGTTTTGCTACATGGTGGAGTATGCCAGGAAGATTGAACTCATCAGGACCTGCTGCATTTTACCTTTGCTCAATAGCTTTCAAGGCTACGTTAGGGCTTGTAACTGCATTAGAAAGTAGATGATCCGACAGGATCATACCAGAAATCCAAAATAGACACTGTAACTGCTATTGCCATTCTAATTTATAATCTGACCAAAACATGCTATATTAGCATGGGTTCTGTTCTTGAAGTATTTCTTGGATCTACAGAAGGGTTTTATGCATAGCTATGGAGAAGTTCCTAAGGTCCTATTGTACAGATAAGAATTAATAGCAGTGCGTCTGCTGCTCTGATAGTGCAGATAAGAAGCAAGCAGAGCTTTATTCTCCAGCTATGACCAGCCACCTCTTCTTCAGTATCCTGGAGGAAAACTCAAATTGCCTGTGAATTTTTTCATTAGCTTTTTTGATGGAAGAAAATGAAGCAAACATCACGTTTGTTCAAAATTATAGTTGTAATAGAAAGCATCTAATAGCAGGCTGATTGCAAAGAGGGTAAAAACCAGAGAAGCAGAAGGTCTTTGACTTTTGCATGGTCTCTATTACATACATGACCAAATTAAAGAAATTATGAATCTAAATTTTGGTGACCAGTTACCATTCTAGGGCGATACAACTGTCTAATCTGAAAGACTTTCCAGGAAGGTTGAACACCCTGTACCATGCTCTCCATGTATGGTAGTTAAAAAATTTCAGTGCTTTTCTTTTTAAAGGAACAGATGTCCTTGAATGTTTTAACTAGTATTTCGTAAACTGCGGTGTTATTGAGTGTAATACAAAAGTACCAGTTCTTGCATCATGCATCTTTGGCAATTACAGATCTCTTGTTTTCAAGGTCTGATCTTGTATCAGTGTTTTTTTTTAATGTGTCAGCAGTCAGGCTCTGCCATGTGCCATCACTGGGTATAGAGCCAGATTTGAAAAACGGAATTAGAATGGCATTAAGAATGAGTGATGAAGTTTACAACTGTTTGAGTGCTCTGTGAAGCTGTATTTCAGGCTTTTATTTTAATGCACTTTAATCTGAGACCACTGTCTTAACTATGTCTATAAAGCAAAAATACTGCTTTCACCAGTAGAAAAAAGGAGAGGACTTTCTGAAAACTAAGGATAGGTTTCTAAGAGGGCTTATCTATCCTTCAAGTATCTGTAAGTTCAGCTGAAAGTTGAATTGTTCCAGTTCTGGCTGCTGAGGAGTTTTACAAGGTTCCACAAAGAAATTTATATTTCTACTTCATCAGTGTTAACTTCCTCATGAGCTTTCGCAACATCTGGTAATATATTTAATTCTACACAATTAACATTACTAAAAATGTGTGTAATCAAGTAAAGCTTTTTGAACTCTAAGCACTTCTTCTTCATAGTAAATAATATCTATTAATTTTTTTAATTGATTTTTTTCTCAGACATAAGGAAATATGTCTGCATATTTCACTTCTATTCCGCTGTAGCACTACATAGTCTTTTGAAGGGATTTTTAAGAGCCTTTGCTCTGCCCCAGAGCAAAGAAATGCAGAGCACTGAGTTGCTAAAGATATCAGCCCCAAGCTTTAGCTTTTACCAGTCCCGCAAGAAAATGAGTCAGCCATTGTGTTCTACATCTCTAGTGCTTACTAGCTATAAGATAGCATTTTTTATGTTCTGTGTATTCTTCTTTCTGTTGCTAAACAATTCCAGATATTTTTTTTCCTGTCAGGGTGGATATTGGAAATGACACAGTTAAGACAGCTTTTTAGGTTAAAATACATCTCTAAGTTTTTAAATAAATAGATGAACTAAATTTATAAAAACATATGGATGGATTGTAACATTTCACAGCAATTACTGATACTTATTAACTTCCAACAATTTTACTAATCTATTCAAACATTTTTATTACAAAAAAAAGTTTCAAAAAACTGTCTTAAACTCCATATATGTTGATACATATGTAAGGTAAATAACTGTGCCTTGTGTTGAAAACTTTTTTTGAAAACGTGATGCTTGTATTTGCGTATTTGATGACAAGGAACTAAATTCTTTACTAATAGCAGTTAATAATTGCTTTATGAGATGAGTTCTCTTCTGTAACTACTTTTGGTTTTAGTGAATGTTGCACCATTTTAGCTGCCTTCTGCTGTGAGATATCAAGCCTTGTGCATAAATGTATTGATCTGCATATAATCTTAAGTAGTAATCTGGCAAGCAAGGAGTAACAAAAAGGCTGAGTAAACACTAACTATCAAATGTATGTACCCAATAAATGCATATCAAAATTCTTCATTTTTTATTACCGCTACTGTTTTCGCGAGCTTGGAAAATTAACATCTAGGAGTCTGTTGTCTTTGGTAATATGTAAGAAACATGGTTTTCATGCATTTTCCTACATAGTTTCATCATATTAGAAAGAAATTACTTGTAAATCTTCATATTTGCAAAGTTCTTTTGCTCTCTCATAACTGCCACAAGGAAATGGAAGGCAATGTCATTGTATCCATTCACTGTATGAAATAGTACGGACTGCAAGCAGAAACTCCTCGATTGCTTAGACCAATTGTGTTTTATAAGGACTTAATTCATTATAGTTACATAAACAAGTGATGTAAGGTAAAAGTGTGTTGTGAAACATAGTCACTTTTGGGAAGTTAATTTTGAAACTGCTGGCGAGGAAAACAGTCTGTAAGGAGTCATGTAGTCAAATGGTTCATTTTGTGACAGATTCTTTTACATTACATTCTAAGGAATAGTTGGAGGGGGTTTTGCTGTGGTGTTTTTTTTTTTTTTTGGTGTGTTTATTTATGTTTGTTGTTTTGGTTTGGTTTTGGGGGGTATTATTTTTTAAAGAAAGGGAAACTAAATGAAGAAGATGAAAACAAAGGTGCCATCACTTTTTACTGTGATTGATACTGAATAGTGTGTGATTATGCATCTATGTAGACCTATGAAGGATTCAAGATGACCAGACCATAATGAATTAATCTGCCTGCAAGAAGTGAAAAGCTTAAAACAAAAGCGCATTCAGTTTATTAAGGCATTTCAATGACCACTTCTGTAAATTAAGCGGGAACACTTTTCAGCCACTGCTAGTGCAGATGTGTTTTCTTTTGTAAGATTTTAGCTTTAAGAAAGTTAAGCGTATACAGGAAATAAAGAGTGAGCATGAAAATATGGAATCAGTATGCTTAAGTTTTCAAATTTCATGTTGTCATGGTGAATAAGGTGGTGGTGATGGATCTGCAGCAATTTTGTCATAAGCTGGTGGAGCATCAGGTACCTATGGTAAGGAAAATGGGTGTGAAAGATCAAAAAAAATTCCAATTGAGTTACAAGAAAAATGACAAGAAAATTATATTGAGCACAGAGCAAGCTATTTACCACCATATTAGATAGAGTTCTATGACTTAAAGAAGCTGAGCTCCTTCATTGTGTCTATTTTATAAGGTTACTTTTTTGGTAGTATGTTTTCTAGTTTCGTGTCAGATTCACTTTATTGCTACTGTTCATCCAAAGAGAGAATTTTTGGTGTTATAAAGGCAGGAATATTTTTCTTATATATATGGGGTGTTTTTAGATTGATAATTCAGACAAATACTGAAGCTTTTCTTTAAGAGTCTTGATGCAGGCGTGTTGTCTTATTTCTAGTGGTAAAAATTTGAGTAGCTTATTTAAAATTGTTCAAAGTTAGCTTCTTCTCGATTCTAAAGCAATTTAAACACACCCATTTATATATACTTATCACTTAATTTACCTTTTTGAAAATTGAAAGTTTGAATGTTCATCTTTCCATAATGATTAGAAGAGCTAACACACTGAAGTTTTATAACGTTCCCTGATAATGCTTGTCAGATTATAGTATACCAGACACAATCCATTTGTTTGTCAGAATGGCAGAAAATCAATTAGGGAGATGTTTGGGCTTTTTCAGTATATTTCAGCATTCAGGTGTTGCATCATTCTAATAGAATGCAAAACAATTACAATTTAAGAATAAATGTAGATTGCAGACAGTCACTTTTAAAATAAGCATTCTAAATAGTAGATTTAATTAAAAAAAAAAAAAAAGTTACAGTACTAATTTTTCTAAATACTACTTTTTAAGTTGATATTGAGGTACTGAAGACTCCAGGTATGAAAGAATACACCAAGGGAGAAATCATCAAGTGCTTGTTTAACAGTATAATCTCACCATGTCTTACTCAGTTTTATGTGAGATCTTGATTTCAACTTACCACAGAATTAAAATCTCTGTAGTCCTGCAGAGCCATTTTGCAGTCCAGTATTTCTCCCTCACCTACCACATTTCGTATTGTGCTCATACTAGAGCCTTTGCTCTGTGACGGATCATAAAGAAATATAGAGAAGGTGAAAGGAAGAAGAGACTGTTAAGTTGGAGCCAAATTGACAACACATATACAGAATGTATTAGAATCTGGGATTAAACACAATGCAAGTAAGGAAGATACCTTAGCTAACACTTTTTGCTGTGTCTGCTGAGACATATGCTCTCTCTCCTGTGTAATCCAATTAGATTGCCGGAAAAATAAGTATCACATTTTTTAGGTCCCAGACTGATGCAGAAACTGACATCTCATGTATCTGAATGCCTCCTCTTTTTTATGCCACCCATTTCTTTCCTTAATCCCCAACCTTTTTGTTTTCCATTTTGTCAACATTTCTTTTGTACACATTCTGTACCAGTTCTCCCCTAGCAAAAATAGCCTAAGAAAAATACGATCTTCAAAACCAGAAAGTAGCAATCTGTGATTAGAAGTAGTTAAAAAACAGATTATGCTTTTTGCCAGGATATACAAAGAAGGCATTTGGTTTGATTTGTGAAGGGTTTTTTTTAGAATTACCTTCATTTTTGAAACATTTTACTAAGAAAGTTCATGTTTTAGGTATTCTGCCAGGTGATATGTGTATTGGATAGATAACTGGATAGGACAGAGTTACCAGAAACAGCAAGAAAGTAGACTTGCTGACTTACATGAGAGCTTTGCTGGGTTTTTCAGTCCCAAATAGTTACTTATATCTTCTTAAAATATTAGGATAACAAAATGATAATGTAAAACGTATGTTTGGATAAACCTTTGTCCTGGTTTCAGCTGGAGTAGAGTTAATTTTATTTTAAACAGCTGGTACAGTGTTTTGTTTTGGATTCATTATGAGGCTAATGCTGATAACACAATGATGATTTGTTTTTCGTTCAGTAGCTCTTGCTCTAAGTCAAGTGGCTCATGTTCTGCCACAGAATGGGTGCACTTGAAACTGGGAGGGCTCATGGCTGGGACACCTGACCTGGACTAGCCAAAGGAATATTCCACACCAGAGAACATCAGGCTCAGTATATAAAGAATGGATTTGGGAAGGGCTGATTGCTGCTCAGGAATGAGATTAATATCAGTTGGGGTGGTGAGATACTGTATTATCAATCACTTGATCCTTTGGGGTTTTACTCCTCTCCTTCTCTCCTTTTCATTATTATGATTAGTAGTAGTAGATTATTATATTTTGTTTCAATTATTCATTTGTTCTTATCTCAACCCATGAAGTTCACCTTTTCTTTCCAATTCTCCTCCACGTTAGGGTGGCAGTGGGAAGTAAGCAAGTGTCTACATAGTGATTAATTGCTGTCTGGGGTTAAACCATAACAAGCTTTCACTTTAAAGAATTAAAAATACCTCCCTTTCATAGGAGAGGGAGCAAAACTTCAAAAATAAAGCTTTGGGACTTCAACAACAGATGTTATGAGAAGGACTGTACCTTTTTAAAAAATATTTTTGAAGAAGATACAAATGGAAGTATTTTTAAAGTAGTCTTTAGAAAACAAATCTCAAACCCATCCCAATTCTTTTTGTAAATCCTAAAACTGTAAGTCAAATTTTATATGGATGAAGCACACATCACCCATATTTACCTACTTGTCAGTTATTTTCCTTCTCTGCTTCCTTGATTTACTCTAATCATATCTAACCTTATTTAGGGGTAAATCTGATGAACAGTGAATATATTACTTTTATTTAAATGAAAGGACACAGAATGTTTCTATATTTTGTGTAAATATAAATAGAAATTTAACTTTTTTTACTGATGTGTTGTGCAAAGTTGGGCAACTGGTTTCATGTCCCTTTGCTTTGGATTCCTCTTACCCCTTTGTCTGACTTGCAAGTTCTTTTTAATCAGGTAGTGTTTCATATTGTGTGGTTTTGTCTGTGACACGTCAGTGTAGATACTGCCTGAGATAATGACATCCTCTATAGATTTGATGGTTTTCTCTGTATTAATATAATGCAAACCAAGGTAATATGTTGTCAATATAATAGCATGAGAGAAAATGAGCTGCCACACTTACCCGCAGACTTCTGTAGCCACTACGTCTTTTGTAATACCAGCAGCCAAAGGCAAGTAAAATTGCCAGCACCAAAATGAAAAGTCCAATACCCAGAGCTCTGTTGGGAAAACAAAACAAAATAATTTGCACCACAACCAGATGCATCCTCCTGGGAGCAAGAATGGTTAGATCAAAACTTTGTGTCATTGTCCTTTTAGCAGAGGAAGGTATGGAGCAGAATTTACCATAGAGAATAGGCAAAGTATCAATAACTTCAGCAAGTTTATTTAGATTTAGTTGTTAGCTAATTTCTCTATCAAATTCTGAAACATATTTAAGATGTATTTCTTTGAAAATAATTATCTACCAGTGACTACTGATTCCAAAAACACCTGTTTACCTGTCTGTAAATCTAGCAAATCACAGCATTGTGATACTGCAAGTGAATGTGAAATAAATTAAATGCGGCATCGTCAATGATGCACCTCATGTTTATTTGCTAAATTTCTCTAGGTAGCAAGTACTTAAAATGTATCCTAATTGCATCATATTGCAACAACTTCTAATGATGGAAGGGTCTTTTGATGCATATAAAACACATTACAACCTTAAAACATGCCTAAGAAACTTTGAGTTATTCATAAAGAGCTCCATAAAGATTTAGTTCTTGCATGACATACTAGGCACAGTATTGGTGTCACTGTGTTGTTTTAGGGAAAGTATGCTTTGCAAACTCTGCTGTAAAACATCCTTCCTGCTGCTCACTGAGGACTTGGCAGAAGCAGCACAGTTCCACTCCATGTCAAAAAGCAAGCTGACAGAGTAATTTCAAATTTCCTGATCACAAAACCCCTTCCTTTAGTGTCAATATCCTCCCTGTTGAGACATATCAAATTCATTCTTTTATTTGTTCTTTACCTGTTCAGGAACAGAAGAATATGTGGAATGATTAAAGATGAAAGAGCATGGTGGAAAAAATTACTCTGTGAATCAGGATGAACACTCTAACACACTTCTGTATATCTTATGCCTAGTTGCCTAGGAATTACCCCAAGCTTTTCCAGTGGGACTGAGTTGTGGCATATGTGACTTATCAGAGAGCTTTTATATCTATTTGCTGTCATTTTCACTGACCCCAAGTCTCATGAAGGAGTATTTCCTTGTGAACTAAAAAGCCTGAAAGGAGATGCGAACAGATTTGTGTGACAGAACTGGCTGCCTTTTTGTCTGAACTTCCTGTGTGCTATTTGAAGCATGAAACCCCTTGGAGACAAAGGGATTTTCTTTTTCCCAAGTATGTGGATCTTTTAAGTCTCCTGCCCCTTGAAGACTCTGTGTGGTCAGCGGGTCAGATTGTGTTCTTAACCCAAGAACAGAGCTCCCAGCACTCAGTTTCTGATGCAAGTTGTGAGATTGCTCCGCTGGTTTTGCTACTCTTGCCAGCGCAATTGAAACTTGGAGGGACTACTTCTCCAGGCAACTGGTACCCTCTCTACATTTTTAGACTTTCTGCATGTCATATGTTGTGTTGTTTAAGCTGTCCATTAGCCTGTATACCCCCAGAATGTGTGTCATTTCTAGAGCTGGTACTTCTGACTGCACATTTGCCATTTAATTACTTCCCTTACTACTCAGAGGCTGGTATGGAATGTGTGTATACAATTTCTTGCAATTCCAGTTACAGCTGAAGTTGTGCTGCTAGGAATCTGGGCTTATACCTAGAATACTTCTGGTAGGGGAAGGATAGTGTCACTTTTGCATATCTAGAAAAACTACTTACATTTTCAACCACTAGAACTCACAGCAGTTAGAGGTAAGCATGCTTAGTTTCAAGTGCTGAAACATGACTAGCCAGGTTTTTTTGGGTTTGTTTGTTTGTTTTCTTTTTTTTGAAAAACTGAACTGCTTTGGATGGCCTATTAGGGAGCTTTCCCTTTTGTTAATTCTTTTTCCAGAGCTGATGGAGGAGCAACTATCTTGTAGTATGAGTGTTTGCAATAAGTCATTAAGTTTGGGGCCCAGGAAGCCAGCACCAGCAGCACAATTCACATACAGATATCCCAAGCACACTGGAATTAGTTATGTGATAAAACATCACCAGTTGGCTGGTGTCTCTAATAATCCCAGACCAAACATATTTTATTGTAATTCAAAGATAAAAAATAGTTGCCAGAAACAATTAGGAGTCACATTTGTATGGCACTGATGTATTTTGGTTTTTTTTAACCATTTTTCTGGGGGTTTTCCCCCTTTCTTTCATTCAAAGAACAATGTCCCTTTGAGATTCCTAAGAGAGGTCTGGGAATCTAGAGATTTAGTATACAGATCACCTTGCAACAGGCTCAAAAGTGAATTCTAAATAAGCCTCTAAATAAACCTGGTAAAGGCTAATGACTTGTGATCATATGATTTAACTCTAGATTCTTGAATTCTGCAATTCTGATTTTTCTTAATATTGAGGGCTCTCTAAGATTGCACTGTGACAAACATTAGAACTATAAGACAGTCAAAAGGCACTCTATCTATATACAATGGTGACCTTTTTTGAAACAATTTTCTGTTTTTCTTTCAATGCAAATTCCTTCATCAGCTTACATACTAACATAGGTTTTGATTTATGCTTACTCTTCTGCTGCAAAATAGTTGTGTCCTTTCCCTCTGAAATGGTTGCCATCCATGTGGTTATATCTTCTGGGCATTTTGTGAGGCTCAAACCTACAGGGTAAAAACAGTGTGCCAGTGTGATAAACCTTTAAAGCATAAGGTTCTTTGTTTTAACAGGAGCATTTTAGAGAGGCAGGGTAAGCTGGTATCTTAAGAATCAAGTAGATCCATATACACACACAACTATCCCAATTTAAGAAAAAGCTCAAAACCATAACTATAGTCTACATATTGGTATCACCGCTGACATCAAGGTTTTTTCCACTGAGTGTAATAGAGTTTGCAGAATTTGATCTGTTTAGGTATCAAGTAATGGCAGACTTCTGAAGCAAAATCTAGAATATCGAAAAAAAGACAATTTACCTCGACAAGAAAAACAATTGAGTTTTCACAAAAGTTGTTTTTCTATTCAGTTATTTTCTGTAAACACTCAGGGGACAGGTTTTCTGCCACTGGAGGCTCTCAGAGATCTGTTGAATTTCAGTTAGGAATACTGATTTATGTCTGCTGACAATAGAAACTTGAATGTATAGGGAATTTATATTACAATATTTATTTCCAGTCTTAAGGTGATAATAGCTGTCTGAACAGTTAAAAATCTACTCAACCCAATATACTGAAGAAGAAATCTACATGTAATCATGTTTCCATAATATGAAGAGCACAACAACAGCTCCTACTTGATAGTATCCATCTAATCTACCTATCCTATACAGGTAAATTATAAAACACAATGACTTTACTGAAGAAAATTCTAGCCAAGGAAAGAAAGCATCTTGAGTTCACTTAGAGATAGTCAAGCCTCTTCTAAAGCAAAATTTTTAAGCAAAACTGAAAATTTTGTGTAAAACAAGAAAATATAAATCTTACCTCCTTCAGACCTGTATTCTGTCTGCTAACTGAAGGCATATGCAGCTTTCTTTGACTTAGTCTGTTTTTTTCTCCTTTGATCTGTCCTCTTATGACTATCACGAGTTTAAATTCCTTTCAGTACAGCTTCTGAATGCATTAATTAGCATGAAAGGGGCACGGAGACAACTTCTCATTTTCTTCTGCATCCTGCCCTCTTAAAAAGCAGCAGACAAATCTATTATTTCTTGGTTAATTACATGTGCTCTGAGAGACAGCCCCTTTTTTACCTGCCCAATAAGTACAAGCTCCTAGAGTGGACAGACTGTTTCTAGATTCAAACATGTTATGGTCTAAGGCTGCTTATTTTGTTACAGAGGAATGGTATTTTTGCATGTACTTACTACAGCTTTTTAAATGCACACTTTTTTCACCATTTTAACATCTGCAAACTAGTATATGTGGACCAAAACTCATTGCCATGTGACAGAAGTGTCTTAGATTAAGGTAAATACAGTTTAATTCTATTCTGAGAAGCAAATACTGCAACAAAAAGAGGGTCTGTCCCATGGGCTGTAGAACTAATGAAGCCTGGCCCTTGCCTATGCTAACACTGTAGTAATTCCATTCCAAGGTCAGCCAAGAAATGGCAGTGTGTGATTGATTCAGAGGTCTGGGTGCTATGCTATACCAGCAGCTCGTTACTGCCAGAAGAGCAAGGAGATAAAAGACCCATGTTCTGCTTGTCATTTGTCCTAATGAATCATTAATCTGAGCCTCTCTGTCCCTCTACAGATTTTTTTAAGTTTAAAGGATTAAATAAGTTTTCACTTTTCTTTGAAGCGGTGCGCTAGGCTCTAAATATGGTGAAAATGACTGATAGACTCAAAAGAAAAGAGGGAAGAACAGATAGTGTGAGTGACCAACATTCGTTTAATTAGGAAGTGGGGTGAAAAATATTAACATTGATATTTTTTAGCTAGTGTAGGGCTGCTGCTGTATTTTTCCTAATTATGGTAAAAATCTGACCTGTCTTTATATATTTTTCCATGGTAGTGTCTAGTGACTGGACCAGAGGCAGTGAGCACAGTCTGAAACTCAAGCTGTGCTCACTGAACATCAGGAAACCTCTTTTTCTGTGAGGGTGACTGGGCACAGGCACAGATTACCCAGAGAGTTTGTTGAGTCTTCCCCATTGGAGATTTTCAAAAGCCATCTGGACACAATCACAGGCAGCTAGCTCCAAGTGGCTCTGCTGCAGCAGGGGGTTAGACCACAGGAACTCCAGAGGTGCCTCCCAAGCTCAGTCATTCTGTGATTAGTGCCAGAAGGATCTAGCTGGTTTTGCTAGACCCATTACAGTTTTTGCAGAGGGGGAAATAAAGGGTACAGGAAGAATGAAGAGTAAGGAGCATAAATTTGCTAATTTGGGCAAATTAACCCAGATTGACTCAATAGGAATTTCAAAGGTGAGAGAGCTGCAGGGAAGTTTATGTAAATATCAGTGTAAATATCAATACTATAAGTGTACACTATCACAGTCAAGTTCCCAAGAAACATGCCAGCCCTTGTGCACTCTGAAAATTTTGTAAAGTTCCTTATCAAATAATGTGTTTTCCTGAAGAAAAGCTTCACTTCTGGAAGCGGATGATAACTGAAGGACGCTGCTTGATCTTGTGAGAATAAAAACACTAATAAAGAAAATTCATGTGATTTCTTCGTATAGCAAAACCACTCTCTGACCCTTACTTGCCTCAAGTGATGTGCAGGGTAAAATATCAACTGCTTGAATATTATGTGTTTTGAATGAATCTCTTGTTAATAGTATAACAGGGAAAAAAATAACAACTTTGTCATGGATCTGTGGTGCCATCTGGAATGTAAATGCAGAATGCTGCTATTGAAGAGCTGGGTGGATGAGGAGGTGAAACACCACATCCTGTTTCTGTTCTCAAACTTTTTACAAAATCTTATTTCTCTGATGTAGTGCTGCTAACTCCATCAGTGTGAAGTTACTGAAATTGACATGGATTGCAAAGGTGTTACCTTTTCAAAGACAACTTTTAAGGCAAGAGGATGCAAGAGAAGTGCTTTGGAGAAACCCCTAAGTAACACAGGTTTTTTTCTGATAGCCAAACCTGTGGCAAATCCAGGACACTCTGATGAATCTTGGTGAAAGGTAGGAAGTGAATGCTTCTGGTGTAATAACAGGCCTGACCTTTGGAAAAGAATCACTCTTGGTTGGTTTTGTGCTGTTGAGATTGCTTCCATCTTTCTAGGACAAGATCCTTGGATTTTTATTAATTTACTTCCTTTAATTAATTGATAATTATTTTTCTCTGACATTTGAGGCTTCCTACAGCACACAGAGCAAAATAACACAAGTACCTTGACACCTGATTTAGTAAAGATTTTAGTTTTGTGTTTTATGGGAAATTCAGTGGAAATTCACAAGTATTTCACTGCTAAATTTACATTACCAGTAAGACAGTACAGTAAGAGAAAATAAGGAGTTCTATCCCTTTCAGTTTGTCCTGACAATCCTTGTCTCTCCATGGTTTGGGGACCTACTTCGAAGGAGGTATTGTCTGGCTTCCAGGCTGAAGAGTTCCACTATAATCTGTATTGGAAGGTTTTTGAAAAGAAGATATTCCTCAACTTGCTCCTACTTTGACTGCAGGCCCATCCAGGGAGCAACATATCCTGTACACTGTCAAGCACCATAAATATGTTCATCCTGAAAGCCTGATTCATGACAGAAGTTTCCTCCTCAAGTAACTTCCCAATGAAGCTGTGGTCCTTGCTGTCAGACCCATCTCCCTCTGCTCCATCTTACAGTAAAGAAGGAATGGTAATCTTAATCCTGTAGAAACTGTGCCAAGAGGATGCCATGATTATAGTGGTGCTTTTTGTTTCTCCACCATGTTTTTCTGAACAAAAATGTTTGAACAACTTTCTGGCAGTTTTCCTTTGCTCCTACTTTGTCTGTGGTAAACTGGAGGTTCTGAGCCCAGGGGATTGTTCAGATTTGTGGGACTTGCTTCATGAGATGCAGGATGATCAACCATGGGTGAAAAAATTTTGGATGCAGTTGAGTGGTATAAGGTGAGGTTATTACTTCCCTTGCATGTAATTTCAGGAGGCCATACCTGGATTCAAGAGAATGGCAGTGCTTTCTAAAGCCTCACAATCCTGTTCCCACCAGTAATTTGCTAACAGTTTTAATGGACCCCACTGCCTGGAGCTGGAGAACCATGGCTATGAGAATGATCAGCTCCCAGATCATTGGGACTGAAACGTCCAGCACTCGCTGAATAAACATGTGATGGGTGAGCAACTGGCTGATGGATCAGGCCCAAAGGGTTACAGTGAATGGACTGGTGACCTGTCACTATTGGGGTTCCACAGGACTCCAGCTTAGAGCTGGTGCTCTTCAAAATCTTCATAAATGACTTGGATGCAGGACTCGAATACTAAGTTTGCTGAAGCTGTTGACTTCTATGAAGACAGAGAGGCCCTGCAGGCCAACCTCGACAAATTGCAAGTGAAACAAATGAAGTTTAACAAGGGAAGGTGTCAGATTCTGGACCTGAGATGAGACAACCCTGGATGTGTGTGTAGACTACAGAATGAGGCTGAAGGGCAGCACCTCAGGAAGGGACCTGGGGGTCCTGGTTTGTGGCAAGCTGAACATGAGCCAGCAGTGCCCTGGCAGCCAGGAGGGCCACCTCTGTCCTGGGGACATCAGGCACAGCATCAGCCAGGCAAGGGAGGGGATTGTCCTGCTCTGCTCTGGGGCAGCCTCACCTCCAGTGCTGGGGACAGTTCTGGGTGTCACAAAAATATAAAGTTATTTCCCAATGGAAAGCAGTGAGGATGATGGGGGGTCTGGAGAGGAAGCCACGTGAGCAGTGGCTGAGGCCACTTGGTCTGTTCACCCTGACGATGGGAGACTGTGGGGAGATCTTACTGTGGTCTTCAGCATCCTCATGAGGGGAAGAGTAGGGGCAGACACTGATCTCTTCTCTGAGACCAGTGACAGGACCAGAGGATATGGCTTGAAATCACGTCAGGGGACGTTTAGGCTAGCTATCACGAAAAAGTTCATTGCCCGGAGGGTAACTGGGAACAGGCTCCTCAGGGAAGTGGTTAGAGCACCAAGCCTGACAAGAGTTCAAGAAGCATTCAGGCAACACTCTCAGGCATATGATGTGACTCTTGGGATGGTCAGATGTTGAACTTTGATGATCCTGATTTAGCCTTTCCAAGTCAGTATATCCCATGATTCTATGATTTGACTTCTTTTGTGCCATTAAACAGATACATAGCAACAAGATGACAGTGTCCACATGACTAATGCTATTTAGTGTTTTTAGCAAAGAAAATAAAAGTATGATTTTTCATTTCTCACAAGATCTTGTTCAGTCTGGTGGGAACCAGGAGAAATCTCCAGCCTGAGCCCTAACAGAGCCAGTTCTGAACTCAGACTGGGCTGCTTAAGACTTCACCCAGTCAGGCCATGAAAGTCCCAAGGATGTCATCAGCCCAATCATGCTGGACCATATTCAGGCTGCTGGGCTGTCCTCATGGCTTCAGCCTAAATGCTTTGGGTTTCAGCTTTGCTGCTGCCTCACCCTCATGCCATGCACTGCTGTGAACAGCCCAGCTGCATCTCCTCTATTCCTCCTGTTGGTGCCATGGATGCTGTTTGGTGCTCCCAAAGCTGCTGCTTCCCCTGGCTGGACCAGCCCTGGTTCTGCAGCCTCTCAGTGATCCTATTCTGATCTCAGTCATCTTTGTCGACTTCTTTCCTGTGCTCCAAACTGTATGCACAAGAGTGGAGCAGAGGGGAACAATCACTTCCCTTGACCTACTCATTGTGGCCCTGTTCTTCCAGCACAGCATGGCACTAAGTGCCTTCTTTACTGCCCATGTCAAACATCAGGACATGTCAAAATAAATTGGTGACAGGGCTTGTAAACAAAATATAGAATTTTAACGGAATGCCAGAGGTGGAAACTGCATCTATTAAACATTTTCCCATTCTTTCCACCTCCAGGAATATCACTTCCATTTTATAAAATGAAGAGTTACTTTAAGTAGTGGAACACTGCAGAAGACTGAAGAATAATACTCCTAGAAAAATCCAAATTTTTCAACTGATAAGTTTGAAAAGGATTTTGCCAGTTATTTCAGAGCCTTATTACAACACTTTGCAGACCCAGGTGTGTTCCTTCCAATATGTGTTCTTTAATCAAGCCCTCACAGGTGGTTGATTTATTAATGGTTCAGCTGTTTCCTCTAAGTTAAATTAAACTTTTGAAATACTTGTTCTTATGAGACAACGAGGTAATTATTTCAGATGAGAGATTTGTGTAAACTCAGCTTCACAGAGGAAGTGTTTCAATAGTGAAAATTTCTGAAGTTTATCAGTAGGGCAGATAGGATATTCATAATAGCTTGAAGGCTTTAAAGTGCTATGTTTTTTTCCTTTCAGTGTTTCATTCTAAATGTTATTCAGCCTTTTCTCCCTTAAATTCTGTCTTCCCCTGATAGAGTAGAATTACAAAAAAACTGTTGTTTGGATACAGGCTCCTTTTTATTCTTATAAATACAGTACTTAATCAAAGTATTTGCCTTAAGGTAATTGGAATGTGGGACTGAAGGGGACCTCAGGAAGTCATCTAGCCCATCCTACTGCTCTGAAGAGTATATTTAGATTCTTGCTCATGTGTTACCTATTCTCTGTTATCTCTATCTTTTCATATTCTCCTCTTAGTCTGCACTGTATCCTAACAGGCTACAATGAAACTTTTCCCCTGTTACATAACTGCCTTTCTAACTTACATTATATTAATGACCAGTTGACTTGATATGGAAAGGAATTAATTATATTTTCTTTATCTCAGCCTATTATGAATTTGAAGGCTGTTCTCATGGCCTGTAAAAATTTTTGTCTTCTAAACCAGGCAAACTTTATTTCTTATACTTTTTTCATTTACTGTTTTCTTAATATTTTCATTTACAGTCCACTTAATTCTTTGCACCTCATGTTCTTCTTACAGTTAAAGCTTTTTGTTATCTCCTCTATGTTACCTTAATACAGAAAGACATTCACTATTCTTAATACAGCGTTCCATTTGGAATTCTTATTCAGTTGGAAGTCCACTGTAGCCTTAGGTCTTCCTCTAATATTCATCAATCCTTTTCCATTTTGTGTGGGTATATTCTGCTTTTTACTTCTAGGACTGTATTTGGCTCTACCATATTCTATTACTCATGTAACTTTTACCTTTTACCAGGTTTATTTATTTATCTTATTCCAGCACTGCTCTGCAGAGTACCTGCAAACCCTTTAGCTCAAAAGTGTATTCATTTACTTGTGCTTTGGAATCCAATTTGTTTACTGAAAACAGTGGGCACTGCTTCCCCAAGTAAACATTTGTGAGCAGATGCTTCTTTTTTAGTGATAGCTGCAGTTTGCATTTGGGGGTAGAGTTTCTATTTGCTGCACATATGCTTCATTGCAATTTAATTTAGACCATGGTTTCCCTAGTTTATTTAGTGTTTTTCTTTTTCCTGTATTTTTTTTGGTCCCTGTGGGACTCTGAAGATTTGCACAGTCAAAATGCAACTTCAATATCAAAATAATATGGTAATGGTTACTGCTCTAGTTTGCATGTAAATCAATTACTTCCTTCCTTTGTTTCAAACATTCCTACCCAAAACTTACATTCTTTTGTAAATCCTAAAAATAGTGAGTTTGGCAAAAAAATTCTACTTCCATATGTCCTGAAATGCTGTCAGAGGTTTCATATAGTCACACCAGTACATTGTGCTCTCAATACCTTCTGGTTTGATGTTTCAGGGTATGGAGGGAAGGGTAGGGTAATGTTGACTTTTCTGGCTTAGTTCTGATCTTGCTTCCTCTTTTTTTTCTCTGTTGGAGTAGATCTAAAATAATTAAAAATCCAGCTGATAGGATGAGAGTGGCTCCTGCCATGTAGAAGCTTGCTCTGTAATCTCCAGCCATGTCCACAATCAGACCTGGAGAGAAACAAATGACAGGAATGTGATTGATAGAAAACAGACTAATGTGAATTAGCTCAGCAGTATGAATATATTGTCCTAAAAAGGCAGTGAGCTGGCTACATATTTGTCTTGCTGACTTCTACATCATGAGCACATGGAAATCACCCCACTATAGCACTATTCAGTTTGAAACACAATTCACATCTCATTGCTTTTTATATGTGAATTGCTAGGGAAACAATATATTATACAGTTTGAAGTGCTTTCCAACCTAAAGTGTGGCAGACAATGTGGGTACCGGCAGACAAAAAAGACAGACCGTGCAGCTGTGTATGTGAGTAGCTCTATGTTGTGTGGTGTAGCTATCACTAGTTGCTGTAATTTGGACCATAACTACAGCACGAGTGAGTTTAGAGAAGGAAAGGAGATTCATCTGCTGGAAGCAAAGTTGAAGAATTTGTCTGGTGTGTTACGGGTTTCCGGTTCATCATTTTGCAAAGAGTCACAGATGTTAACAAAAAGGCCTTGGTTTTCAGGGAGCTTTAAGCCAACCAAAATACGTAATGCTATTGTGTATCATTGTGTATAATACTGAAAAATCTCTAGTACAGTAGTAGCACTGCAGCAGTGTGTCAGCTGCCCTATGGGTATGATGACACATTCTTTTGTGGGCTGATGAAGGTTGCTTGCTTGTGGGAAGATTGTCCATGTTTATGGTACTCCCTAGCCCACATTCTAAATTAAGAGTAGCCCTACTTAGGCATAGGAACCATGAACTCAAATATTTTAGATTTTATGCTCAAAGGAGGAGAGGAGAGCTTGAGAGGCACTTAGGATTCCCTGCTCTTCCATACGTTCTTTGTAGTTTACTAAATATACAAAAAGGGGCCGCACTGATTCCCAGATAATCAGTACTAATGACCAGCCACTATGAACTGTATTTTATTCAGATCTTTTTAACACATTTTTGATACTGTTCTGTCTCAAACCCTCTACAAATCTTCCTGGTTCCTGTATTTTCAAAAGTGAATTAAAATGTTCTCGTATTCAGTCTGACTCATTTGCAACCCATTAGCAATGTCATTACCACAGAAGTCACTTGTAGTGCGTGAACAATAGTCTTTGGATGAGGACTCCAATCTGCACTGTACAAGTCACACTGTTCAATTTTTTTTTACTATATCACTTTTTAAAGTTTCCACAGCTTGCATTTAATTTGTCTTGCATTTTTTCAAGATTACTATATCTTGTGGCCAGCCCATAAATCCATGTGCTGTCTCATTGTCTGCTCTCTCTTCCCACTGTTCTTATGTGGTGCCTTCCCTATTTATTATACTAGTTGGCTCAAATGCTGTCTAAAACCAGCAGGCATTTCTCTGAATATTTCCTTGAGGTTTGCATAGCCTAATGTTTCAGGCTGTTCAATTTGAACTTCTGTAAAAACCCTCCCAACAATACCAGCATTTGTGCAACATCACTAGTCTCAAATATCAGTTTCTTGTCTGAAAGTGTGTGTCTGCTGCTTGTCCCAAAGGCACACTTTCTTAGCAAGATAGTTGGAGGCCATCAAGTGGCATTATGTGGGATTCAGGAAGCAGGACCACCACCTGGACTCTGCCTTTCATCCCTCCTTTCTTGTTGAAAAGGTATCTCTAAAATCACACAGAAGAGAAAGAGCAAGGTATTTTGAAGAAGATTTAAACTGACTATTTATTTTTATATACTTCTTGGCTCAGATACTCGAGAGCTAAAAAGGGGGGAAATTTGAGTGCAGATCCAGATCTTTTCAGTTTGGATTACCATTCCCCTTTCTTCTTGTAAACTGTATTTGGCAGTGAGTTGTCTTAACCTACCTGCAAAAGGAGGCCCCACAAAACCTCCAGTACTTCGAATGAGCATGAAAAGCCCTAGAGCGCTGTCAAATTCTGGCATGCCGACAACATCTGCCAGCACTGTAATGTGAATGGCGACTGTTGTACCAAAGAAGAATCCGTAGAAGCCAGTGAATATTGCCAAGGAAAGGTAACTGTTAGCCAGTGGCAACAGCATCAGGGAAGTACTGATCAATGTAATCGTCATCGCCAACAAATGAATGGTTTTGGTAACATGGAGGTTGGCATACCAGCCACACAGCAGTCTGCCTCCAAAGTCCACCATAGCCAAAATGGATAGGAGGGATGCAGTCCATGATTCGTCTATTCCCAGGCTATAGCTAAGTGGAACTAAAAATAACGGAGGAACAAAAAAGCTCATAGCAGCTAATATACCAAAAATGGCATAAAGTACAAATTCTGGTCGCTTCACAAGCATCCAGTTTAAGGTTTTGTGCATGATGGGAGACTTATCTTCTTTGTCTCTCCCAGATGCACCATTGCCAGGTGGTGTTTCGGTTCCATAATGGCTGGCCTCAAGGAGGCAGCTGCTTGCCAGGGGTCGCATCAGTACTCCACAAACACAAATATTCAGCTGGATGCCACCTATGATCAAGAGTGCACCTTTCCATCCATATTGACTAATCAACCACTGGAAAAATGGCCCAAACACAAATGCAAAGGCACATTCTCCAGCACTGGCAATAGCATTGGCCAAAGCCCTTTTCTTGGAGAAATAGTGGCTAACAATGCTAATGGCTGGTGTCCACGAAAAAGAAATGCCAAGACCTGAAAAACACCAATAGAAATTGCACTGATTAGACACCATTGAGGTATTTTGTGAAGGCAGAAATTAAAGCAGTCAGTGCTTCTACATTTGCAAAGTTAAAACGTGTTAGAAGGAAAGCATTTTTGCCTAGAAGAAGCATGAGCACTCTTACCCTGGAGGAGGGTGTATTAGTGACATTATATTCTGTAAGCTGTATGTATTCAAGAAAAAAGGCAGAACGTGAAGTATATGCAGTATTACATTTTTACTTTAAACAAAAGCAAAAACAAGTTGGTTTCACAGCTTCATCAGTGCGTGAGAAATCACATGGTCATGGGATTAAAGCTAGACAGATCTCAGTTCTTCTGCTGTCTGCATGAAGGCTGGTACTAGGTCAGACCAGCAGGTTAAGCTGAGCTGTATTCAGGGTAGACTGTGAGGCAGGACAAGAAGGAAGCTGGTGTATTGCCTCTATTTGCTCTGCATTTTCTTGCTTGACTGCTTAGAGTAAAATTAAAACTTGCTCTAACTTAGAGTTATTTTGATGGCTCCCTGGACTCTTTGGCAGCCCAGGACTGCCAAAGGGCTTAAATTCCAGACATTTTCTCAGGCATCCAGTGCGGAATTCAGAATGGTTTATTTTATTCCCTGCTAGTTTTGCTTCCTGTTCCAGGAAAATCTGCTAGCTGTTGGAGACAATTTTCTGGCCTCGTTTTTCGTGGAGTAAAGGAAAGGATTGGAATAAAATGAAAGCCTGGGACTCTGTTCAAAACATAAGTTGATAGAAAGTATAGAATTTGGGATCTCCATGTTTTCTTTAATTTAGCATCCTTTATGAAGATTTTTTAAGCTTTCACAAAGTTCTTATCTCTGAATGGAAAAGAAAAGACTTAATTTTCTGCTTGCATATAATTTGCAGGGGTAAATTACTGGCATCTAATAGTTGTCTTCTTTGTTGTTGCAGATTTCCTGCACAAATTCATCTTTCCAGAGTGGGACAGGAGAGAAATCACATTTGAAGAGTATTGCTTGTTCTGGCTGCTCATAAAGTCAAAATAGATACCAGATTTTAAAACTCCTGTCACTAGGACCCTCAAATAAGTTGCTGGTGGAAGAAAGCCATAAAGCCATAAATTCATACCCTGTAGGAAGCCAGTTGTTGCATACATCCAGACCATGTTGAGTCCAAAAAATCCCAATGCCATTCCTGAAAAAGCCAGAAGTCCTCCAGTGATCACAACTGTCCGATGGGTATATTGTACACACAGTGAACTGGCAACAGGGGCTGGATCAGCATAAAAATTGGAGAAAGAAAAATACATTAGGAACATTAATCTGATCAACATGGCCAGATAAATAAAACATTTTGAGGAGGACTCCCCTTAAAATGCTTGACACAAACAGCCTTTATTCTACTGGATGGGGTAGGAGGTCAGTCAAAATTTCAAGATTGTATACTTGCTGATGGAGAAATGACTTTCCCTGAGGCACAGATTTGAAAATATATTCAGCATATGTGGACCTTTTTTAAAGGGAAAGAGCATTTTAGCCTTCCTTGTAGTATGACAGTTCTACTGATCTTCATGTAAGGATACAAGTACCAACATGACAGAACCTCATGGACTGTTTTAGCAGAAAGTAAAACTTCAGCCACAGAATCTATAGGTTCACCTATTAAAACTGTACTGCTGAGAATGTATTATTGATATGGCTGTCATGAAAACTTTCTGGAGAAAACTAACTTTTGTTTTCTAGAATTTTGAAAAAAAAAATCAACCCTTAATGGAATTTTAAAGGTTTTCAAAGGACCAAAAACTAGGGTTTATTTTGTGGTAATACTTTTTACAGGAAATTGTCCGTTCATTTTTTAAATCTTCATTTAGTGGTACAGTATCTCTCAACAGAGTGCAGGGGCTCTTCAACATAAGGGCAAAGGTGTAGGTGGTACAGATCTGATGGTGCAGCAGCTGCTTTGGTCTCTAGTCACTCTCTGGAAACACCTGAAATGTCAGGGATATCTTTTCTTAATTAAGGATCAGTTTTACTGCCTGGCTGTTCTTTCCATCAGCATCGCAGAGTCCGGGTTAAGGCCGTAGGATTTCTTTAAATAGCCATGGCCACTAGGGGGTTCTCAAGTACCACCTGGCAGGAACCAGCTCCCAACATCTGTAAAATATCCTGGGGAGTTCGTGCATAAAACTCAGTTTGGTTAACGGGGACCATGCTGAACTGAAATAAGTAGGAAGACAAGGATTAAGAGAGAGCAGCCAGCAAGGAAGGTTTTATAATAGTTTGTAGGGGCAGGTTGTTGTACATTCACCTGGGTTAAGATCAGAATTAAGAGAATTTGCTAGCTAGGATGAGTGAAATAAACCCGACAGAGTACTAGTTGTTGCAAAATCTGCAGGATGTACACTGTCTGACAGCAGAAAGATGTGTCAGTAGTTATACAAACCTCAAATGTCCCATCAGCTTTTACAGCAAAAATCTGATCATTTTATAAGCATGTAAAAAGGGCACTGAAATTCAGTCATTCTCTTAAGATGTAGTTGATGGGACATGATAAGGTATATACAGCTGGTGAATCATACAATATGACAGAAAAAGAAGAGAAAAGTAGATACAGGATAACGTCCATGAAAGTTCTTGAAAACAAGAATAAGGTCTGCAGCTGGAGAATAAATATTACCAAATCTCAATTTTTAAATAGTAAGTAAGCAGAATAAACAGGCAGCAATTAAACATGGGGTAGCAAGAGAAAGAAAGAAGCTAGCCACAGAACTGGAAATGGGTAAAATAGCTTGACTCCAGAGTCTGAAACAGTAAAGGCAACACACAGAAAATGTACAAGCAGTGGAAAAGATGACAACAAGAGTGCAAAGAGAAGGGTGTTGGGAGGTGTACATCAGTACCCGAGAGAAGGCTGGTGAAGGTGATGGGGAGAATCCTTGCTGTGGTAAACTGAACAGTCTGTTGCAAGGGCAGACCTTGGGAGTGGAAACACATGCTCTCCTTCGACACAGGAAACAGACCTGCTGTTGAAAGGATCCAAATAGGAAAAAATAATAATTCAGTGATCGTCCTCCATACTGAGCCAAGTGACACTCAAGATTTCCCAGAGATACACAGTAAGAAAGACTAAGCCAGGCAGGAAACATGGCCAAAGAACTGGAAGCTCAGGTGATTTTCACCAGGAAGTCTTGTGGTCCCTATAAATGAAGTAAAGGCAGAAAAAAATGAGGACAATTATGTATTGACCTGAGACATTTATAAACTACTATACAGAGAGGGTTTGGAATATTTGACCACCAAGCTTTATTCACTGGAAGAGGATTATTTTCAAAGGATTTCAAAGGACAAAGACCAATTTCTGCTGAAAATTATAGCTGCCTTACTTGAAGCAGGCTGGCCTCACACTAGGCAAATATATTTTTGCTGGTTTATACCTGGTATTATCGTGTCATATGCCCTATTCCTTGGTACATTCCTATACAATGTAACTATATACTATAACAAAACAAAACCTAACTAAAACAGGACTGTTTTTCCCTCCTTTGCTGGCTTTTTCTTCTCATGAAGTTCAAATGCCTGAACAAAATAGTATCACAGTATGTCAGTGATATGTCTAATTTGTAAACCAAATTGATAATTACCATTTATTAATTTCTGTGGTCTGTGAAGCAGGTTTTTCAATTTTTTTTTTTACAGTTAATTATATCTGTCACTGCAAAGCAGGCATCAAGGACAGCAGTTTATGGAACTGATAAAATCTTTTCAACTCATTAATTATTTTATCTTTTTACTTTGACTTTGGGTTACTCTCCTTTCCCTCTGAATACATATTTCAAAGAAAGAACAGTTGCTCTTGATGTTTGGAAACACTGCAGTTCCGAGCAATAATACTGATAGGTGTGGACTGAGTAGGATGCATGTAATTATACAATGCAATGTCTATGCAATGAAGAGCCTTCGGAAATAAAATTATGATAGCATTTATTATGAAAGAAGATTTACCTATTGCAACCATACACCTCTATGAGAATATGCAGAGCAGACTTAACAAATTCTGTACAGTTCAAGCCTGCACATGTTTGGAATCCTCACATCATGTGAAAGATGATGCCATTTACAAGGGCACTAAGGACTCTCTAAACAACCAAGCTGAGTCAAACACAGTATGTTTCACATTTTGATGTGATGTGGTATTTGACCTCTTCCCATAGCTCACTTTGAGCCTGGTATTTGACTTGGATAGTTTAGTGTCTCATGAGCACTCTCTGCTTTGTGTGCTCATATCTTTATTGAGCTCGAGTCTTCTGGTAATTCAATAACCTGGAGTCATACTAAGAAAAAGTGACCATCACTCTGAGATCAGTGAACTTGCACAAACTGGTTTAAGAGCTTGATTCAACAAGCTCTATGGCTATCAGAATTACCTCTAATGAGTTTAACTCAAAGCCTGTAGCAAAACTTAATAATGAGTTTAGGTACATGATGTTTTTTTCAGGCAATCAAACTCTTGTGTCTATAGAGTTTTGTTATTAACCCATTCCATATCTGAGGCAGCAAATGCCAATTTTCTGAAAATTTTCTGTATTTTCTGTAGAAACAGAAGAAGGAAGTATAGGCCTTATATGTTTCTGGGTTTGGTTTTTTTTTAAGGAAGATTTCCAAACTTGCTTTAGTAGTTGCTATTGGTAGTTAATATTAAAATAAAATGATAGAGGAGTACTACTACCTACCTCCTAAATGAAAGACGGCAATAGTTACTGATGTGATCCAGGAAGTGGTGCTTGCAAGTTCATCAAAGTGCTGCTGGATTTCAACAAAGAACAGACCAAAAGTCTTGAGGACAGCAACAGTGAGGCCCATCACCATGAAGGCTGACACTACCACAACCCATCCATAGCCACCATCTGGTGGATTGCTGTCCTTAGCCTGCATCTTTTCTAATTCTTAGATCTTCTCTGGGTTTGGGTTGTTTTTGCTTTGATTTTTTTTTTCTGGAGTGGTAGTGATGGTGATGAGGTTTTTTTAACAGATCTGCAAATTGGTAGAAGGCCCATTGTTAAAGAAATCAATTAAAATATTCTATAAATGGCTTACAGAAGTAATTACCAAGTTAAAATACAACATTCATTACAGTGGTTTGACTGAAAATATTACGTGGGGAACAGATGCCCCAAGAGACAGGAGACTGAATAAAAAAATAAAAATAAAAATTCAAGTACAAGGTTAAGAAAACAAAAAAGGCATGCAGATGTGAACAAAGAAGAGAAGACAATGGGAAAATATTCAGACATGAAGATTTTCAAAGACAGAAGAATTTTAGTGTCCCAAACATTTTAGCATTTATAAATATTAATTGTTCTTGTAACGCCAAGCATTTTTGCCAAAATTATGCACAATTATCCATCCTTGCAAAGATATATTCATAGGCAAGAAGATCTTATTAAACACAAAGTTGAAAAATCATATTTCCCCCTTTAAAGTTTTGTGATAAACATGCAGTAATCACGCAGTGCATGGAGGACACGGGATCTGGCTGAAGGGAGAGAAACATTCATACATTTTTCTGGTTTCTTCATGGACTCTAAATTCTGAGTAGGGGTATTGTACAAGATGCAGAAGACCAAAAAAGACCTATTTCAGGAGCAGAATGGGAACTTGAGATAGCTGAAGATGTACCATACTTAAAATTATCTACCCTGTGTGCAGCTGGAAAAAATGAGCTGTATGAGGGAATCCATACCACTTGAAATTATCCAGTACAAAGAAGTAGTCACTAGTCCTCTGATTTGCTCCATTGAGGTACATGATCTCAGAAGGATCTGAATCACTGCAGCAGAGTGGTGAAAAGAAGCCATCAGAACCTTCTAGGGATCAGAAGCAAAATCATTCTACTGCCATGTGTCCAGACTGACATGGCACTGAACACATTTGCACATCTTAAAAAATCTTAGAACAGCCATAAGAGAGGGAGAGACTGCCTTGTGTTGAGGCCTATGTGAAAGAATCAGGTTTTCATTCCCACAGTATCTGGGTGACCTTAAGCAAGTTGTTAGATCTTGCTGTGCCTGTTTTCTCAGTTGTCAAATGCAGCTAATACTTTCAAAGGTCATAAATTTTGTGAAGTTGGAAGCATTAATACTTGTATTAGTGCTCAGTTTACTGTAAGAAAACACAGAAATTGTATCAAGCTGAACATTCTGACAATGTTCAGAGTAGCATAGTCCTTATTTTGTTTGAGGCCTGAAAGAACATAAAAAGGACACAACACTCAAGCTAAATGAGCCTGCCTAGGCAGAGTGGTACTGATATTTCTGCATTCTGCATGGACATGTCTGGGCAAGGGATTATGATTTGTGCCACAAAACAGATAGAAGAAATCCTGCTACTTACCAGGCAACACCGAGACTAAAACAGGCATGATAAAATCTGCATGACACCACCCAGCGCCCTTCACTTTCATTAGGCAAATTCTTTCCCAGGAGGAGTATAAATTGGGCCTTACTGCTCACAAAACTTAAATGAACAGTATGTTTCCTTACGACAAGTACATCTTTTATGTCATAGCTCAGAATTCAGCCTTCAGTTCCTATTAATGATCACATGTTACATGTAACTCCAAAATTAAATTACTATTTCTGTTGCATTATTCATTAATGAGGTAGTTATTTTCCATCAGCCCTATGGATTTGAAAGCAGTGAAGCTACATACTATAGGGAATTGTTGGAATGCCTGAAGAGGGTAGAAGAAAGTATAGATATTACAATAAGGGAACAAGTTTCTGACACCATGCTTTGTTCCTCCTTCGCTTTCAAGACAGTTTTTAGTAAGATGAGGTAATTGCAAACACCCTAAGCTGAAAAAAAACTACATAGGATCTCCTTTAGCTCTCAGCTATTGAGCTATTGAGCTATGACAAACAGTAAGGTACTAATATCTCCATTTACTCACTTTGTCCCTGGAGCTAACCTTCTAAATAAAAAGGAAAAAAAACTTGTAGGGAAACTGTTCCTTCTTTTGTGCCTGGCCATACACAAGATCCCTCAAAGATGTAGAGCTGTGCCTGGAAGCATAAGCATTCTATCTAGCATCCCACTGACTCCTACCTCAAAGATTTCTCATAGCAGCTGGAACAGATGTCCTGTGAGACAGGGACTTAAATCTGGAAAGCCTGTTCTTGGTGTGTGCGTCAGCAAGAGCAGACAGCTCTGTTAGTGGTGTTATGCTCATGGCAAATTTTGCCAGCAAGAACATGCAGGCAAGAGTGTAACCTTTATCTTTGCACCTGGATAACTACAAAGGCATTTTCTGAGGCACCAGGGCTGTTCCTCTATTCATGCTCTACAAGTTCTCCAAGCTATTTCTGCTTTGATTCATGCCATTGATTCAAAAAGCTTATCAGACAATAATAAAAATAAATTATAAAATGCTTATCTCATTGCTTGCATTTTAAGGTGCCACATAAACTTGTGAAGACGGATACTTGTTCTACTTCGTTATCTTGTGCTCCATGTTCTAATTTACTTTTCACACAAGTGTAAATGAGTTGAATACATTTGTTGCACATTGCAAAACAACTCGGTGGTGGAATCAAGAAAAAACTGTTGTTAGTATGAATCCTAAACTTCTTGTTTTCATGCAAGTCATAGTTAACGCTCCTCAAATAAGTGTATTCACTCTCTCTGAATGGAGGCTGAGTGGGCTTCTTGTGAGATGGTGCTACTTTACAGATATAGGTTGCCCAAGATGATGAAAAAGAGAAAGTTTTAAGTTTTTCCACACTTAGATAAAGAAATGCTATTTGGTAATGGGTGTTTGGTTTGGGTTTCCAGTACAAATATTGTACTATTACCTTGGATTTGGACTTACCAAAAAAATAGAGAAAAGGAAGAAAAACATACTTAATATACATAGACACAAAAATACTTTTACCAAAGGCTGATACCTTGAAAGAGGAACTATGTAAAACTGAATACAAAATACATCTCTAATAAATTAACAAAGATTAAATAATATAGTCTTGTTTTATTGGTTGTATTAGAAGAAAGATGGAAAGAAACAAGGAAATCAATTGTAATTTATGCTGAAATTTCCTCCACACATGTTCCTTGGTACACAGGCAAGGCAGGCACTATGTTTCTCACATTCAGATACTTCATTATTTTCATCTAGAACTTGGACTGGCTCTGCTAATGCTCACCTAGTCACTAGAGCTTCAACTACAATAGAGTCATACTAGTTCCTGCTCGTCAAACACAAATTCAGGAGGAATTATTCATTAAATTTTCCTTTCTAACTTTGTAACATTTTAGAAGGAGTCACTCTAATGAGTATGATCTATAGCAGTTTATTGGCAAAGTGCATTATGATGGAAAAGAGGGGCTGGATGCTCTGAGCAATCAGTTAGAAGTAACAAAAGTCAAGTATAACATCAAGAAATTACCTTATTCAGATAGCCAGGGCTAGTATGGGATATGAAGTTCTTCCTTCACCTTCCAGTTGTAAGTTCTTGAGTAGTGCTGCAAACCACCAGGTCATCTTTCTCATCTGAACTGCCATCTGGTTAGTGGAACAGATCAATTTGTTTCTTTCAGGATGCATAAGCACCGGGTTTTATAAGAATCCCCTCCTCCCCTCCTCAAAAGTCATTTGACTCCACCTATACTCAGAAAAACAAAGTTCTGTCCTGACTAGAGATCAGAGAAACAAAATCAGGAATGGGTGGAGGAAACGTAGAGGAGGAATGCAGATTTTGTTATTTATCTGCACTGTACTTGTACTAGCCTTGGACTGTTGTCCATGTTTTCTACTGAACTTAACTACTGGACCAACCAGAAAGTTAAGATGTGACAGCTGACATCAAACTCCCCTGTGTTCTGGGGCATTTACTGCAAGTGTTTACTCAAATTTGAAATTCATCTGTGGCTTCCCTATGGTTGTGCTGTTGGGCAGATGTTGGCTACAGCGAGCATCATGTAGCCTGCAGCAACTACAGAAGTTACAGGAAGCTTGAATGTGCTCTCCTGAGCATGATACATGCATATTTGAACCTTTTATCACACCAGAGCAGTCCTTTACTTGTGTGGTTTAAGAGCCCACGGTTAAATACTGCTGGTCCTCATAAAACTTTTCTCTCACAGCTCTTACTGCTAGTTTATTGTAACTTATTCTCTTTCCTACCAATTTGCCTTGCACTGATGTTGTGGTGGCTGTACTGCCATTGTAATTGTTGGGGGGGTGCAGGGTGAGTTGCAGTGCCTTGTTGCTTTTTATAATATTTTTATTTACATGTTTGTAAATAAATAGTTACTTGTCACTCTCTATTAGGAACGGCGAGGCAGTGCAACACAGATCCTCTTGTGAGCTGAACAGGACAGCAAGGTTTATTACCTCAGATCTTTTTTATAGACCGATACACGAAAGTACAGAAAGGTAAAACTCTTATTGGTTAGGAAACTAACACATCACCATCATTGGTCAGTGGGGTACACCACCCCTCGACCTTCTCTTGCAAGAAAACAAGAAACTGACAAACAGCACCTGCAAAGCTGTTTTCTGCTTCTGAGGATTGTTTTGATTCCTCCTTATGATTTCCCAGGCTGCTTTCTCAGGCAAGACTGAGAAAGTCATGTGGTTTGCTATTTCACAGCCACTGTTTGTGCTCGCGTTTAGCATCCATACTTACTTCATGACTTGATCAGTAATCTGTGTAGCTTGTGTGTGCTATGGGGAAGTATAAATAGGCAGCTGACCTGCATAACTTAGAAACAGATATGCTTCATATTTTTGGCATATTTAAATGAGAAGCCAGCAAGTTTTGTGAGATGACATTCTAATTTTCTTTTGCTGGGAAAATTCTCTGGAGCTATGTTTTAGGTCTGGAAAAGACAAAATCATGGCAAAGAGGGTAGTTTTTGAAGTGGAATTAGTGTGCAGTCCTGATAGAAAAGTTGCTGCCACTCCTACTTCACCTTCCTGCTACCACATGGGTTTTCATGCAGTGTACTAGACTGGTGAACTGACCCTGCTCGTCGCTACATTGTGGCAGTTTCTCAATTTGGAGAAATTAATTATGTGATTTTACAATGCAGAAGGCAGAAAAAAAGTACCCAGGAATGAAACTTGGCAGATGAGACTGCTTAATCCAAAAGACAAATTAACGTGGTGGTTGTATACAATTAGTGTCATCACATGCCCTAAGCCCACCAAATTCTGATCTGGCATCATGATGATGCCAGACACAGGGCTGTGACTGACTGGACTGTAGTTCCCCCGGTGTTCCTTACTGCTCCTCTAAAAACAGTAGTTATGCTTCCCATTTGCCAGTCATTGACAGCTTCACCAGAGTGCCACAACTTCTCAAATGTGCTACCATGGTTCAGCCACTTCCTCTGCCCATTCCCTCAGAACCCACGGCTCATCCAGATGAGTCTCCTGGTATTGCTGCCTGACTTCCTCACTGTTGGGATGTTTAGAATAGGTGGCCCTCAAATATTATATTACAGTCATGGGAGTTCAAATCTATAGACAAAATAATGAATTCTGGAATTTTTCACTGGTCAGTCTATCAGATTATTTTTAACATTATATTCACTGAAATTACTGGGGATTATGCACAAAGGAATATTGTCATGGCCTGTCATGACTGTCTGAAAACCAGAATGGTCTTAGCAGGACTACAATGAATGCTCATTTTCTACAGTTCTTCCTACTAAATACATTTAGCCTTTACGCATACAATTTAGTTTGGGTTATCCAGAACTACATTATTATACATTATATATTATGCATTAATACCAAAGTAGATTTTGCTCATCTGATCAGGCTAAAATATTTTCACAATTTTCTGTCAACATATGGAAGCTTTATGCTATACCTGTGTACAGTACTTCTCCTTAATCATCTATTGGTTTTCTCCACTTGTTAAATTTACGAATAAAATTTAAGTATCTCTTATTTCTACTTAAGAAATAAGAAAAAAATTGTAGACTGCACTTCTATTAAACTGCTTACATTATTATTATTACATTAGAAAACTGTTAGGAGAACTGTCAGGTTTCCATTCATACACTGGAGGAAAAAAGTTTATTCCAGGTGGCAAGAAGAGTCACTTCAGATCTAGTTTGTCAGCTCAGCTTTCAGTAACTCCAAGGGTTAGCTTCCACTTTAAGTGCTTGAGTAAGCACAAAATACGTTCACAGCTAGACTGCTCCATTAAATATTTGGTGTAGAGTGAGATGAGAATCTCCCTGGAACATCTGTACTTCAGATAATAACGGTGATTCATGATTATGAAGAGATTATGCTTAAATGCTGTCCAGTCAAGTCATAAAGAAATATTTAACCATTCAGGAGTTAGTGTGTCTTGGCTTTTATTACTAGGCTCATAGAATGAAATCTGCAATGGTTAAAATGGTTTAAATGGAGGCTGGATGTAGATGCATTTCTAAAATGCCTTTTCATCAGTATTCTTGAAACTGAAAGTAATGATTGTATTCTCTGCTGCTGTAGATAATTTCAGTTCCACTGATTTCAAAATTACTTCACCCCTTTCACCACCAGGGAATTTCTTCACTGATTTCTCAATGGGAACAGGGCTGTCTTAGAAGCAGATACAACATATCTATCTAATGCCTCTTTATTGTTATTATTATAGTTTATATAAAACCTGGAAAACAAGTCCCTGAAATGTAGTTCTTATTTAAATTGCAGAAATGTAGAAAGCCAGCCTGACATAAATACACACAGATCCTGGCAAAGTCTCCTTGTAGTCAGCTGTACTCAGATGCAAAGGCAGAGAGCTTATGAAACCATGCCTCCTGAACTCATCAGTTCTTGGTGGTGATCATGTTTGTCCCTCTGCCTGGAGCTACTCGCTCTTATCACATACATCCTCTTTTTTTTTCCCTGACTAATGCCTTCTGACAGCATTGATAAACAGATAGTAAGCCAAGATAAAACATTACCAGTTCATATGATCCACCAGCTAAGAAAATATTGATTGAAATGACTGAATCAAAATGACTGTGTTTGATTTGTTAAGTATTACTAATGTAATATGGCTAGCCTGAACATAAATATTCAGAGGACTGTGTGCAGGAGAGATAGAATATGAAAGGATTGGAATACTATTATGTAAGAAATAAACAGGCTGACATCACTGCCAAAATAGCTGTCATGGGATGCTAAATGAACCTGGGAAAGAAATGTAGATGAGTGTGGAGGTACTTAAGGTCTTGAAGGAAAAAAATAATTTAATCTTGATGTGATTAGAGAAGAAGAACCAGGGTGGTGATTCAGTGGCATAAAGTTAGGATGATAAAGGAGGTACGTTTTGTGGCAGTGATAGCTGGCAGATATTAGAGGGGCTAAAGAGCAGAAGGAGGTAACAAATAAGCAAGTGAGTGATTAGGGTTTGTCAGAAGCTGTCAGACTGTAGAATGTGAGCTATTTAATAGATAAAGGAGGAATAAGTGGCTTAGTTTTGGACTGGGTTCTGGTTATCCTATTACAAGTTTAACAAATTCTTATTAGTTTAAGATTGACCGAAGCTTTACAGGCTGGGAGCAAATGAAGAAAAAACCTTCTGTCCTGAAATTACAGTCAGGTGTGCTGATTGATCCCCTCCCCAGAGCAACATCAATCCCTGGCTTCCCTTTATAACAAAGGGAATGCTTAGCTTGCATGGAAAGGGGGATAGACTGTCTATGAGGAAGGGGGTGACATAGAGCCTGAACTGGATGCAAATGGAGGATATATTTATCTAAACAAAGGTTGTTTGTTTTGTTTTTCAACAAGCAATAGTCTGTTCATTTTCTCTGTGTAATTCTTGGTTGTGATTATAGCTTCCATTACAAAATTATAGGGTAAGAAGGAGAGGGGGCACAGGAAATGAGTACTGCTAAACAGAGAAGAGGGAAATGCACTGCCTAAGCTTATCAAAACAAAATGGTTAAGTACAGTGCTGATGCAAAC